TCTGGAACACTAATTTGGAAAGACATATGCACCTCTACGTTCATTGCAGCATTATTTACAATTAGCCAAGATTTGGAAGCAGCCTGAGTGTCCATCCGCACATGACTGGATAAAAAAGTTGTGGCACATTTACACACTGGAATACCACTCGGCCACAAACAAGAAGAGGAAGTCTTACCATTTGCCAACAGCACGGATGAACCTAGAGCAGCGGTCGGCAAACTGCCACTCACGAACCGCCCGCAGCTCACTAGCCGAGGTTTGCCGCTCTGTTGACTGAGTTTGCCCACCACTGGGAAAGGGGCTTAATCACAAGGAACAACAACAACAGCCTGTAATTATCGGAATCGAGAGTCTAGGTCAATGATCAGCAAACTCATTAGTCAATGGAGCGGCAAACCTCAGCAGCTTGTGAGCCGCAGTTTGCCGCCCATTGACCGAGAGGATAACATGATGAGTGAAGTAAGCTAGTCAGAGAAAGGCAAATACCATATGATTTCACTTATATGTGGAATCTAAATAAACAACAAAATAGAAATAGACGCATAGGTACAGGGAAGACTGATGGTTGCCAGAGGTGTGATGGGGCGTCGCCTTCCCCTGATCACCGGTTCGCCTCCTTCCCCTGAGGGCTCCCAGACTGTGAGAGGGGCAGGCTGGGCTGAGGGACACCCCCTCCAGTGCGTGAATTTTCATGCACCAGGCCTCTACTATTGTCATAAGTATGTACGATGCAAGGGGGGTCCTAGATTCACTGAGGGGACCACTCTGTAAATGATATAAATGTGTAACCACTGGACTGTACTCCTGAAACTAATGTAAAATAATATCGAAGGTCAATTTTAACTGACCAGAAACATGTTTTTAAATAGCAGGGAAGGGGAAAATGGTCCCCGAGTTGAGGACGAGAGTTAGGCGTTAGCTCGGGCTGTGATGAGCAGTGCGGCCGGGCATGCATCTTGTGGTTGGTTTTCATGTTTCAGACACATGTCGCATTCCCGTTTTAAAGATTGCTGTTAATAGAGCACAGACTTCCGCCCGTCCATGGTGATGAGACAGGTTTGGGAAAGCAGCTCAGGCATCTGGCGCCAACGAGCTTACAGGGATCCAAGCGTGAGGATGAAACTGTCATGCGACGTGCGGACTTGGCGAAGGCTCAGCACGCCTTGGGCGTGGCTGTCGGGCCCACGCCGTGGGCAGGTGCTTCTGCGGCTCTTTGCTCTTGGTGCTAAAGGCCGTCACTGGCTAATACTGCACAGGCGCTCCCCTCCCCCACTCATCAACGCCTCTTGGGTTCAGCCAATGGGCAGCTTGACCACTGAAGAGCCACGGGAGCTGGGCGGGATTGTAGGAACCTGATCATTAGGAGATGAAGAGGAGGGGTGTCCCCTGTGATCCCACCAAGGGGCAGGCTGAGGACCAGGCCCCTGGCCCACTCCAGTATGTCATCTTCTTCCCACTTGGCGCGGCCCCCTGACCCTGGCCCTGCCCGTCTGCACCCCAGCTGTGCCCTACTCCTGGCATTGGGCGGGACAGACTCCTGGTAAAGGGCATGTATCAGGGTTGCAGGTTCAACCCATGCCCCAGTCGGGGTGGATGGGGGATTTGCACCAATCTCTCTGTCTCTGTCTCTGTCTCTGTCTCTCTCTCTCAGTCCTCCTCCCTCCTTTTCTCCTCCCTCCCTCACTTCCTCTAAAATCGATGGAAAAATATCCTCGGTGAGGATTAACAACAACAAAGATGCCACTCAACAGTCAGGCATTGATTATGTGCCCACCTGCCGCCTGGGAAAAGATGGACACAGCCAAGCTCTGCTCCCGGGATGTCCCTGTCCAGGGCGGGAGGCGGGGCAGGGAGGTGGGTGAGACCAGAGAGGAACTTGGGGAGCAGAGGGGGAGGTTCACCGGGTGAGGGTGGGCCCAGGCCGGGAGACCAGAGACGAGGGCAGCCGTGGGCTGGGGAGCAGAGTGCCCTGCAGGAGTGGCCAGAGGACTGCCAGCACCGGATGGTGTCCCGGAGCGGGCAAGCCTGTCAGGGCTGGAGGTCCAGCTGCCAGGATGTCAGGGGGCAGTCCTCGCTGGGCAAGGCGGGACCAGCTGCCCAACATGCCATCCAGTCTGAAAGGCTGCTTGTATGAATGAAAGATGTCACACCAAGAGGACTGGGACATTCCTACAGAACAGGCCCGTGGTGGAGTGGTGGGCACTGAGGTCTGCCCCCACCACCCACCACTACAAACAGCGGTCACCCCACCCAGAAGGGTACCCCCACCCCAGGACAGAAACGACTGGGAACCATGTCATCACCTGGCATCGCCTGACCAGGACCTCTCCACTGGGAACCATGAAGCCGCTGTCAGCCCTGGCGCGGCCACCAGGGGGCACTCGCCAGCAGGGCTGGGTAGAGCTACAGCCTGTGGATTTCATTTGCTTTCAAAGCCCCTTGGTTCTGTTGTGACCCCGCAATGAAGTGAGCAGGATAGTCAGCTCCGCTGTGTAACCAGGGCCCCACGTCTGCGACTCACCGAGCGTGTGGGAGGCCCCCTCCTGGGGAAGGACTGGGCGCTTGGAAGAAAACAAATGACAGGTTCCAAACGGCACCCGGAGAGCCCGAGACCCCGCCTGGCAGGGGGAGAAGGAGGGGTGTAAGCCCCGGGCTGGCCCCAGGGTCCTCTGGGCATCTCGCTGGTCTGGGAAGTCAGACCCGGCACGCAGGCCCCTGCCGTGGCTTTCAATCTGCCGGGGCCTCTCGCCCTCCTGGCCCGACTCACCCCCCACCTCCACCTCACCCCCTCACTCCAGGCTCACACTGGCTTCACCTGGGGGCGCCCAGCACCTTCTCTGATTGCTTTGCTTTGTCAGCGACTCGTGCCAGGCAGGACGCAGCAGCACGCACACAGGTCGCCTTCCCTCGATGAAACCCTCCGAGGCTTTCTTTTTATTGCCAGAAACCCCAACTCTCCTGACCTGTAAGCCCCCTTGCAGGGCTGGTGCCAGCCTGCCAGCCGCCACGCCCTGCCCGCCAGCCCCGGCCTCTCCCCCCCAGCTCCGAGCTGGGGCCCTCGCTTCCTCCTCTCTCCCACCTCTCTCGCCAGCATGTTGTCTGCTGGGTCCCCTCTTGGGCCTGCACCCCCTCCCATGGGCTTGTGATGACTGGACTGCAGCACCCCCTGCAGGCGCTCGGGTGTTTGCTGAGCCCACAAGCTCCCTCTGACAGGAGAGCCGGGTGCCGAGCGGGTGTGGCCGTGCCTGTGGGCTGCCCGGTGTGTCCGGCCTAACGCCCCGGAAGCCGAGACGGAGCAATCAAGGCAGAAGGTGCTGGGCGCCCCAGGTGAGGTACCCGCCAATCAGGGCCAGGAGGTGATCCACAGACCAGCACCGCCTCCCTGCCTCCCCACTCCCCAGTGCACCTCGACTTTGGCTGTCGGTGTTGCAGGTGGACCGGGACACAGAGACTGCGTGTCCCACAGCTACCTCGGGGCCCAGGCAAGTCTAACAGCAGTCAGTCTGGGGTCTCACGTGAGACTCACAGGCTTACGGCTCCCGAAAGCCCAGCTTTACCGGGTGAACCACGGCTCTGACTCCCTTCCGCAGGGTGAGGAGGGCGGGCTGGGGCTCCGCAGTGCAGTGCGCCCTCGCCGCCCCTGGGAACGCCACCCTGACAACGGGACCCCGAGGCCGAGGGTGACACCTGTGGCCCCAGCTCTCTCTCAGGCTCCCTTCTCCCCACCTGCCTCTCACCTCCGCTCTCAGAAGCGATCAAAGAGTGAGGCAGTCTGAGAGGAACAGCAGATCCGGCCCAGCCCGGGGCCCTGTGCGGCCAGCCCCCGGGACGGGTGTCTGTGGGGCTCACGCTCCTGCTGCCCTGAGTGCTGAGGGGATCGCGTGGGGGGCCCCCCCGGCAGCACACACTGGACACGGGGCCTGGAACGTGTTTATTAAAGATGCAAGCAAGCACAGAGGTCTCATGTCCATCAGTACTGAAATAGAAAAATAGAAAAGAAACTCCACAGACAGCAGCCGCCCTCACGATGCGCACGCAGACGGGGCCTCGGGTCCCCTGCACCGCCCCGTGCCGCCTGCGGGCCCAGCAGTGACACCTCTCAGAGCGCAGCGCAGACACTCCTCCGGCCCCGGCCCCGGCACCCCGTCTCCGCTCCTCCAGCCAGAGGGGGGCAGATGATGGAGGGGGAGGAACAGGGATAAAGACACCACCTCTCCCCCCAGAGACACTGAGGCGCGGGGACAGGGCTGAGAGCAGGCGGTAACCCTGCAATGTGGCACCCCAGGGCTGAGCGCCCGCTGGACACGGAGCCCCGGAACCCCCGTGAGCACTGCTGCCCCCAGCGGGCTCCTGCTTCAGGGACGAAAGAAAGCCGCCCGGTGTCTCCGGTGGACTGTCCCTCGGCCTGGCCTCGGGGCAGGTTTCCTCCCGTCCCGCCCAGGGGCCTCCCTCCGAGAACGCCCTATGGGCAGTCCCTGCCTGGTTTCCTGGTGACAGAACCACACGCCATCGGGGACCCCTCGGCCCCCCTCACGGAGCCCTCTCCTTCCTCAGACCCGGGTAAGAACGGAGCGGCCGCCCGCAGAAGGAAACTACAAAAATAAACTGAGCTCTGCCTGCCGCCCGGTGCGGCTGGCTCCCGGGCCCTCGGCAATGACCTTCTGTTTGGTTGGTACCGGTGTGTCCCGGTTTCCGGCGGAAAGCGCTAGAACACAGGAGCGCCGGCTGTGAAAGGCAGGCGTCGGGCTGCGTGTGTTACAGGCTGTGTGTTCCCGGCGCGGCCGTCGGAACGGGTCGGCCATCCTGACAGTGTGTGCATCGGACACGGGCAGACTTCAGGTCCGGAGGCGGGGCAGCTGCTCGGGGCGGCGGCCCCTCCCCTCCTGCGGGCCCCTCTCCCAGCGTGGCTTGTCCAGCGAGGAACGGATGCGCATACGGGACCGTAGCTAGTGGCGTCTGGGGTCGGCGAGCATGCAGGGTTGTGGCCGGGGCCGCGCTTATAAATAAAAGTCAAACGTGAGGTCGCACTTCCCCATCTTCTGCTTGTACACCAGGTCGAACTTCTCGTTCATGGACACGGTGAAGATGTCCTTCCACAGCCCCACGCGCCCTGAAAGCAGACAGAGAGCGCGCTGCACGTGTGCGCTGCCGGCAGCCACCCGCCAGAGGACGCCTGAACCCCAAACCTGCCGGGGGCCGGGCATCTGAGCCAGGCAGGAGCCACAGACCCGCCGAGCCTGCCGGGGGCCGGGCATCTGAGCCAGGCAGGCTGGACCTGCTTCCCCGAGTGACATCCTGGTGTCCTTTCCCCGTGGGGTGGCCCAGTGCCACAAATGCACGGAGCTGAGGCTGCAGGTCGCCCGGGCCACTGCGGGGCAGGGGGAGGTGCTGGGGGGAGGACCCCGCACCCAGGCTCCGAGTGCGATTCTCGGTGCAGGGAGGGTGGCCAGGTCTGTGGGCCGTGGGGAAGTGGGGTCTCCGGATGTCCCCACTCACGGCTCAACAGCCCCACCAAGGGTCCCCCCCTCTCCCCCCCTGCCCGCTTCTACGCCACCCGCAGGCAGTCCCTGAGGTGAGCAGGCAGCTCCCGGTCGAGGAGGGAGATTGTGAGAGGCCTGCGTGTGCCGGGAGGGATGGCCGTCGTGGTGCCCGCCAGCTCTCCGGCCTGGATCAGAGCGTGTGCGGCAGCGAGACTCCCGGCTCAACACCAAGCCAGTCAGGGCCACCCCGGGCCGAGGTGGGTGCAGACCAGGCAGGCAGGCAAAAACCGTGACCCTGGCCGCCCACCCGCCAGGCAGGAGTTCGGAGCCCCAGACTGACGAGCAGGCTTGGAAGACAGAACCCACCCACCTTCCTGTTAACTACAAAAGCTGCCATTGGTTGGACAAATATTAATGGTGCCCTGGCTGGTATTGCTCAGTGGTTAGAGTGTGCCATAGGCACTGAAGGGTCTCAGGTTGGATTCCTGGTCAAAGGCACATACTTGGATTATAGGTTTGACACCCAGTCCCAGTCTGGGCACCAGCGGGTGGCAACCAATCGATATGTCTCTCTCACATCGATGCTTCTATCTCTCTCCCCGTCACTCCCTCCCTTCCATTCTCTCTAAAAAAAAAAAAAAAAAAAAAAGAGAAAAAAATCAATGGACAAATACCCTTGGTTGAGGATAAACAAATAAAAATCAAACGTTAACGGTGACGGGAAGATGCCAGGAGTGGGGTGCAGACCTCCCAGCTGGGGAGTGTGACCCGCCAGCTGCCGCTCGTTCAGGAACGGCCTCGGGGAGTGAAATGTTTGCTCAGGACCCTCCCAGCATCTCAGAGCTCAGAGAGTCAAAGCAAACCCCCTCCCCAGCCCCACGGCAGGGCCTCGGGTACCAAACTACCCCTGCAACGCTGGTTTCTCTTGGTCATGAAAATTACGTCCTTGTGGGGAGGAAAGGAGAGGCAGTTCTGCCCGTTCACGGCACCCCAGGGGGGAGGTCAGGAGCCTGCGCACCGGGCGACTATAAATAGCTTCCCCCCGGGTTGTTTTTCTCAGCCGAGGCCGCTGAGAGCGCATGGAGGAGACACCCACCTGGTTTAGGATTTGGGACCAAGACAGGGAGGTTATGAACCAAAGCTAAGCATGCCGCTGGCTACGCAAGGCCTGCACGCTCGCCAGCGCAAGGAGTCTTCGAGCACAGAGGCCATGCGCTAAAACAAAACAAAACCAAGAACTGAAATAAAGCAGAACCGCGGCACAGACGAGGCCGGTCCGCGGAAGGAGCCCCCGGGACGCACCCACAGGTCACAACACGGCCAACGCAAAACTGAAAAGAAGCAAAAAATAATAATGATAAATAAATAAGTAAATAAATCATAAACACTGTGAGGATGCAGCCAGGAAACAAACGCGAGGCCCTGAGGTTCGGATCTTCCTGGAAAAGCAGGCAGCTCTGCCTCCGCAGGTGCGGTTCTCCGCCTTCCTAAGGCCGAGACCTCTAACTCAGCTCCCCGTGTGCGGAGGCCCAGCCATAACATTATCTTCCTTGCTGCGTCATAGCTGTGACTTTGATACTGTTCTGAATCGTAATGTAGACGTCCGTGTTTTCCGATGGTCTTAGGCGACCCACGGGTTGAGAGCCGCTGCCCGTCGGAACACACAGCATCACAGCCATGAAGCAGCAACGAAATAATGTCATGGCTGGGTCTCCACACCGCGAGGAGCTGGACCAGAGGCTGCAGCATCAGGAAGGTTGAGAGCCACTGCTCTACCGGAAGGCACTGCCCCTGACCCTCAGAGCCGCCCTGCAGCCCAGCTGCCCCCACTGCCTCCCAGCGGAGCCTGACCCCGGGCCCCTCCCCAGGGCACGCACGGCAGCTGTGACGGAGCCCGCCCTCCCGCCACCACCCAAATGTCTCCTGAGGATCCGCTGGCCCCTCCTCCCCTTCCCTCAAGCACACTCGTCTCCTGAGGAAGCTCCAGATTCACAACCCAGAACCGGCGTCAGGTCCACACCGCCAGACGGGGCCCCTCCCCCTGCGCTCCCACGGCCAGGGTGACCCCTTGGGGCCCACAGGGCTCCCTGCCCCAGCTCTCCTGTCAAACCACGGCAGCCTCTGAGGGCACGGGGAGCAGCCGGGCCTGGAGCAGCTCCTCCATCCCAAACTGCTTCCTGCCCTGAGCAGCTCCCAGGAGCGGCCAGCCCGAGGCTGCACTCTCTGCTCTCACCCTGCCCGGCAGGGCCTGCCCCTGACTGTGCCACCAGCACTTCCTCACAGGGGACCTCACACCCTCCCACCGCCCACAGAGGCCGAGCATCCATCTGCACGCTGCGGGCTCTGAGATCTCACTGCCCGGCACCCCCGGCTCTGCTCTGAGGGGCCATCTGGGGAGACACCTGCTTGAGAACATCTTGCCCACAGAGCCCGGCACACGCCTGCGGGGCTCCTGGGTCACAACAGCCTCCAGGGGGCCTCGCCCCACGCACGGCAGAGGGCTCTGGAGAAGAAGACCTGGGCAGGGGGCCCTGAGGTGGGGCAGGGGCGGGCAGTGGGCCCGGGCAGAGGCAGGGGCGCGTACCCCGGCCCACGGGCAGGGCCTCAGCGTTGCAGCACTGGTCCACCAGCTGGTGGCAGTGCTCAATCAGCGACTCCAGCTGGGCCTTGTCACAGGACACCCCCAGGAACCTGGCCAGCTGCTCCACCATCGTCACCAGGTCCTGGGGGAGAAGAGCAGAGATGGCGCCGTTACTGGCCTCTGGCGGCCCCCGCGAGGGGCTGGGCTCGGTCCTGCGCCCAGTCTGAGACGGGCCTCAACTGGAAATAAGACCCCGGTTAGGGAGTGGCCCGAGGGCCGCTCTGGGCTTCAAACCCAGGTCCCCGGGAGTTTGAAGCAGGCAGGGGCTGGATGTGCTGTGGCCCTTGTAAATCAGCAGCGAGAAGTAAAAACCCACCGGCCCATTCCTCCTTCCCTGTCCTTCCCCCGCCCGCTGGAGTCGAGGCCAGTACCTCGGAGGCAAGGAGGCCTTGGGCCCCGGCAGGCCCCGGCTCCCGCCCTCAGCAGGAAGGAGCTGGCTGGGTCTGAAGCCAGACCCACTCCCAGCTGGCCCAGCGCCTGCCCCTGACTGTGGGGGTGACTGACCCAGCTATGGGTCCCGGAGCTGCGGGCACACCTGCTCCCCACGCAGCCCACCCCACCGTGACTCCCGAGGCTCCCATGCCACCATGCGCTCCTTGAACAACAATATCCCTGCACTCTATCTTGTTCCGCTGATGAGATGCAGGGACTCAGCTCTGATCACTGTCCACCAGCCTGTGCTGGTTGTAATGGTTCATTACAGCCACGGAGCCTATCCACAGCGGTAAGCAGGGACTTCCTGTGAACGGGGCTTCCCGGGGGGCCCAGGGGGCCACGTCTGGGCACACTGAGGCCGGGGGCTCTCGGGCACTCCGGGTCGCCCCCTCGGTGGGCAGGGCCCCCTCCGCCCACCCCCCGCCGGCCCCCGGCGCCCGCTCACCCGGTGCATGTCCTCGTACTTGAGGAAGAGCACGTTGGCGTCGGTGCGGTGCTCCCAGAACTCCTGCACGTGCTCGAACCAGGAGCCGTAGCCCACTGCGGAGACAGGGCGCGTCCGCGGCTCTGCCCTGCCCTCCCGGGGGCCGTGGGAAAGCAGGCTCTGGGCTGGAGGGGAGCGGGCCCCAGGGATTGGGGGGTATTGGGGGGGGGGGAGCCCCACAGACAAGGTCTTCTGAAGCCCCATGTCCCTGCTCTCTGCACAGGTCTCTCCAGGAAACAGCCCCCCCACCCCCACCTCTGGGTGCCCTAAAGACCGGCATTGGGGGAAGCCTCTGCTCTCCTGGGCATGATGGTCCCTGGCACAGGGGTTCGTGTTTAACAAATGGCCATCGGGAAGAGAGGGATGCCCAGGAAAAGGGCACGGGCCATCGGTTTGCTGGGGGGGTGGGAGGGAGAGGGGAGGCTGCAGAAGACAGGGCCCTGCCAGGAGTGACAACTGCTCCTCTCTGGTCAGCCTGCGCCCGCTGCCATCTCACCAGCAGGTGGCAGCACAGCAGCAGGGATGGGGTCAGGGGTCACTGAGCGGAGGGGCGGCTTTAGGGAGCAGATCAGACAGAAAGGCCCTCCCCAGTCCGCGGGGATGAGGAATGAGGGGGGCTCTCCACCAGGAGGGCAGAGCGGATGGACAGGAAGGAACAGGGGTTCGGCCAAAGGTCTTGTTTGAGGCCCTCGGCCCGGTGAACACTGGCCCCTCTGCTGGTCCCCTCACCGCAGGCTGATGACCGCGGCCCGCGGAGAGCCCAAGGCTGGGCCTGGGTCACAGGGAGCCTGAGCCAGTCCCTCTTGCCCAGGAGAAAACTCACAGAACAGACCACCACTGGGGTGCCCAGCTGGACAGGAAGGGCCCCGGGCCCCTGAGCACAGAGGGCGGGGCCACTGCACCGGGGCCCTGGCAGCAGCTGCAGAGGGGCGTGCCCTCATGGGGGGACCATCCTGGGAGGGGGTCCCGACAGCTCCTGCTTCTCTCCAGGTCCCGCTGCCCTGAGAATTATGGGATTATCCTAGAGAATTATGGGATTATCCCAGCAAATTATGGGATTAACAGCTCACTGGCCCCTCCAGCAGGGAGCTGCCCTCAGAGCGGCTCACCTGGGCACGTGGCCCCAAGCACACCCCCAGAATGCATGGGTTACAGCCCCAAAGCCAGTGCTGTCAGCGGGTCCTAGGCCTTGCTCTCATTTCTTAATTTCAGGACCTTGGACAGAGGAGAGCCAGGCAGAGGCCCTGCTAGCCCAGAGGCAGCGCCATCTGGGAAGAGAGTAAAGGGAAGGAATGGCCTGCAGGGCCAGGGAGTGCCCATGGCCCTGGACTTCAGTGCCTGACAGTTCTGTGGCCTTCAGGCGCGCGCAGGCCTGCCTTGAGATAACTTTCAAATGCTCTGCCTTCCACACCGGCGACCGGAACTTGCCGAGTGTCCAGGACGCACTGGACCCTAACCTCAGCACTCACTCTCCCCGCAGCAGCTACCGGAGCGGGAAATAACGCAGGACGTGCATTTCCAGCCCTGGGAGGGAAACAGCCTCCTGCGGGTCTGAGGTTCAGACCTGGCCCACTTCACATCTCAGCGTGGAGAAGCCCTGGCTGGCAATGGGTGCCCCTCGGGTGAAGGACAGACTGCAGGGAGGACCTGCTGCCCCTCTGTCCAGGGGCGGCTGACCGCCCACGCCTGCAGGGAGCACTGCTCCCCGCCCCTCCCCGGCCACACTGGCCTGCCTGCCCCCTATCCCGCTGCGTCCCCGTGTTGGCACAGGAAGTCACGTATGCCCTGGGCCTGTCACCGGTGACGGAGGCGGCTGGGCCTCAGTTTCCACTTCCCAATCCAGCCGGCAGGAGCACCTCAGAACCCACACTGAGGAGAGAAGGGCCTCTGAGGGGACGCCCGCCCTGCTGCCCGTGAGCAAAGGCCTTGGACAGGCGTCCCGCTGCCCTGCAGCCTGGCCTGCCCACCCCTCAGCAGGAAAGCAGGCCGGCACGGCGGCGACGGCCGGGCCAGGGGGATGCGGGCGGGGCCCAGGGCGGCCACTTACGCTTGTCGTTCATGAAGCGCCGGCAGAACTCCTGGAAGGTGCCCCGGTAGCTCATGGTGCGCAGCGAGCGGTGGAACTGGTAGTAGGACACCACCAGGTCCTTGGGGTTCCGAGCCATGTATATGACCTGGGGGGCGGGGGGGTCAGATGCCGCTGCTCCCGCCAGCGGGTGCACAGCCACTCCCGCTCCTGCGCACCGACCCCTCCAGCATCGAGGCCGCCCCCCCATACACACCCCTGCGAGCCCACGGCGAGCGCTTCTCACAGCCCGTCAGCCGGGGCGCGGCCACCCCACAGCACCGCCCGCCGGGACGCCCTGAGCGGAGCGAGGGTTACGTCTCTGTGCCAGCTCCACGGAGGACCGCGGAGGGAGATGGGAAACCATGGTCTGACACGGGGATGGGAACTAGGGGCTCGTCAACATCAGTTGAGAAAACAAGAAACATCAGCGGGAAGCGTTCGGCCTCCTGCGAGCAGAGGCGGGACCAGTCCGCTCCGAGGAGCAGCCCAGGGGGAAACTGGGAATAAAACGCCAGAGGCACTGGCTTTGCCAGGGTGGACGCTGGGTCCCGGGAGCCGTGAGGGCACAGGCCAGCAGGAGGGGCGGGCATTACCTTGGAGTCGCCGTTGTGGAGGTCGGAGGGCAGGAAGCGGTAGGGGAGGTGGCTTTTGATGAGGCGGGGTGACGTCAGCTCCTGCAGGGGTCAGGGGTGGGGGGGTTAGGGGAAGGGGGTTCAGGGAAAGGGGAAGGGGTGGGGGGGTTAGGGGAAGGGGGTTCAGGGAAAAGGGTCGGGGGAGGGGTCAGTCCTACAGAATGGCTCCGCGGATGAGTCAACACAGAGCACTCAACCAGCAGGACAAGGGACAGCGGTTCGAGCTGGGAATGCGGCCTGGACTCAGGGGGCAGAGGGAGGTTGGATAGAGCATTCCAGAGGCAGCAGAGGGACAGGTGGACAGGAAATCGGGATGATTCCTGACACCAAAAACCTGATGCAAATGCATCCTACCCACCGCCCTGCACAGAGGGGTAACCCACAGGGCAAGGGAGGTGCCGCCAGGTCCCCATCCCCCTTCCTCCTGCCCCCCACTCCCGGCACCTGCCTCCTTTCTACCTTGCGGTCACCCACGCCACCCACCCCTCGGTTCCAGGGTCACCATCATGGGGTCAGGCCCGTCTCCCCAGCCACCTAGGGTGCCGGCAGCACTCTGCTCTCCCTCCCCCAGGCCCCACCCGGCCTGGAGGCGGTCACCTTGATGATGTCCAGGCCGGGCTGCGGGTACTCCAGCACCGGGAGCTGCTCGTCGATGTTCATCAGGCCGATCTCGTCGGGGTCCGCGCCCTGGCTCACCAGGTAGACCACCTCCTGCAGCAAGCTGGTGCCTGCGGGGGGGGGGGGCGCTCAGAGGCCGGGCGGGCCCTCTTGCTGGCACCTCGCGCTGACCCTACTCCCTGCAGCTTGGCCCACGGCCCCCACGCCCGGCAACCCGGCCCACAGCCACCACGCCCGGAGCGCCTGAGTCCAGTGGAGATCACAGCCCGGCCAGCCCCCGGCCTGCGGCCCCTGCAGGGACGGGAGCTGCCTCTGGCTCCCTTCTCCGGGCGCTGACCCCACGGGCGTTTCTCGGGGTGTCGGAGGAACGGAAGGGACCCACCGCCCGGGCCCAGCGCTGTGACACGGAGGGTGCTCAGTCCCGGCTCCGGCTCAACTTTCCATCACCCTCAGGCCGCGGGCCCAGCAGGGAGGGCCCGCCAGCCAGTGCCTTACACTGAGGCCTGTGTGCCCAGCACCCGACAGCCGACACAGGGCCCTGTGGTCCAGACTCTCCCTGCACACACGCACAGGGCGATGCTGCCCAGGACAGCCGAAGCTGGGACACCACGGGACACAGGTGTGCGAGGCCAGAGCGAGAGGAAGTGTGACTGGTCCTCCGCCGACGGCAAGAGAGGCCTGGCCCTGAGCGGCGCGGCTCCGGGGAGGCTGCGGCCACACACAGTGCTGGGCGGGGGGCGCCGACCCCCAGCCACCTCCTGTCCGGCTCTTTGTGCCCCCACCCTCAGCAGCTCACAACGGGTGACACAGCCACGGTGCTGACATGGACACCGCATGGCACTCGCCCCAGAGACTGCCCAGGACCTGCTTCTCCTGGCAAAGCAAGGCCTCTCACGGCCCCCACGCCCGGCAGCCCGGCCCACGGCCCCCACGCCCGGCAGCCCGGCCCACAGCCCCCACGCCCGGCAGCCCGGCCCACAGCCCCCACGCCCGGCAGCCCGGCCCATAGCCCCCACGCCCGGCAGCCCGGCCCACGGTCCCCACGCCCGGCAGCCCGGCCCACGGCCCCCATGCCCGGCCCACGGCCCCCACGCCCGGCAGCCCGGCCCACGGTCCCCACGCCCGGCAGCCCGGCCCACGGCCCCCATGCCCGGCCCACGGCCCCCACGCCCGGCAGCCCGGCCCACGGCCCCCACGCCCGGCAGCCCGGCCCACGGTCCCCACGCCCAGCAGCCCGACCCACGGCCCCCACGCCCAGCAGCCCGACCCACGGCCCCCACACCCAGCAGCCCAGCCCACAGCCCCCACGCCCAGCAGCCCGACCCACGGCCCCCACGCCCAGCAGCCCATCCCACAGCCCCCATGCCCAGTCCACGGCCCCCACACCTGGCAGCCTGGCCCACGGCCCCCACGGTTCATCCACTGAGCTCCTACAGCCTCCCTGCTGGCCCGGAGCGTGCTGCGTGCAGGGGCTGGTCCCCTGCCTGAAGCCCTTTCCTCCCTCAGACCCTTCCGAGGGGAGGGCTCCCTGACCAGCCACGTCACTGACACACCCACCCTTTCCCCTGTTGCCTGACCTCTACCCCCTGTTGCACCAACGGCCCAGGCATGACCTGCACATCCTTTACTCTGAAGGCACAAGCACACCCTGGGTGCTGAGCAATCAGAAAGAGGTATGTTGATCACGGAAGACTTCCTGGAGGAGGTGGCTTTGGAGCAAAGGCGCTGAGGGGGAAAGTGGTGCAGCAGCTCTGCAGGTCAGACAGAAAAACTTCTAACCCTGGGAGCTTCCCTCCCACCTGAGGGGGGCCGTCCCTCCCTCACCGACGAGGCTCCTGAGGCCGACATGGGCTCGGGGCGGCTGCACTGGGCGTCTGTGCCCTCCACAACCACTGTGGGCAGAGTTCCCGAAACAGCTCTCCCAGGGCCGTCCTCAGGGCCTATTTTTAGTGCTCCCACACCCACCCCCACCCCCGCAGCCCCCCCGGCAGGGACCCAAACCGATGCTCTCTGCACATTAGCATCGATTTCCGTCAATCTCTGCTCGTCAGCTCCAGGCCCATTAGCTCTCCGTGCCGGAAGGCCAGCCTCCTGGGGGCCAGAGGGCAGCCTGTCCCCAGCGGGCCCCCCGGGCCCACTTCCTGACTGAGCTCCCCCTCCAGCCTTCAGGGACTCGGCAGGCGGGCACTGCCCATGCCCGGCACCACGGAGGGCAGACAGGGGCACACGGGACAGTGCAGGGAGCAGCCCAGGCCGCCCCAGGCTGCGGGCAAGATGGGGCGAAATGGCCGCAGAAAAAGCCCGGCCAGAGGGGACCAGGACAACAGCACCGACCGTCACTGTGAGGTTCCTGCACCGATGGCTCTGCCAGCTCCCCCAGGCACCAGGCCCCTCCTCCGGCTCACCGCTCCTCTCGCTGCCATTGCCCCCCAAGTCCCAGCACCAGGCACCTGGAGGTTAGCGGGAGCCCACTCAGCCCCCCACCCACTCTCCTGGCTGCCATAGCCACCCCCTCCCCTGCGCCGGCCCCAGGGGCTCTGGGGGCTGCTCGGCCTCGCCCCCTCTGCCCACCTGCTCCTACATCCGATGGGACCACAAGCCTCCCGGAGCCCCATAGGGGAGGGATGGGGGACCTCGCTCTCAAGGGTGTCGCTTCCCCAGATCCCACGTGCGATGTGGCACCGTGTCCCCGCCTGTCGCTGCGCTCGCCGTGCCCAGCTCCACGGCCTCCGCATAAACTCCCCAGGGAAACCAGTCTCTGCGAAGCCTCTCGCCGCTGATCCGTCCAGCACGTGCCATTCCTGCTGGCACAGCTGACGGCCACCCTCTCCTCTCCACGGGGTTCTAGGCGCTCCACTCGGTGACTGGCGTGTGGAGAGGTTTCTAGAGGCAGCAGAGATGCACATGCACTCACCCTGCCCCGCCCAACCGTGAGCCCATGGCCGCCCAGAGGGCAGGACCCCGTCCCCGCGGCCTGGCCCGCGCCCTCGGGGCCGCAGCAGCGGGCGTTAGGAGCTGCACCCGGAGCGGGCCCAGCCCAGGCCCCTGCAGCCCCACCGGGTGGGACCTGCTCCCTGGACGCTGGGCAGCTGCGGGCCAGAGCAGCAGGCGTCCTCCCTCCAGTTCGGCAGCCGTCCTGTCCGGGGAGGGCCCAGTGTGCTACCAACAGCTCTCAGGATCGTCTCTGATCGTCTCTGAGAATAATCCCCGCCCCTCCTGGCACGCAGGGGACAGGGGCCTCGGGGACAGGGGCCTCGGGGACAGGGGCCTCAGGGGACAGGGGCCTCAGGGACAGGGGCCTCGGGGACAGGGGCCTCAGGGGACAGGCAGAGCGCAGGCACAGGGCTGAGAACGGGTGGCGAGCCAAGCCCAGAAGCCCTGAACAGCGCTCACGAGTGCCCAGCTGTCACCACTGACAGCCAAGGGCAGCACCGGGTCCCAGGCTCCGTCCCAGGGACTCGCAGCCACGTCCTCACAGTTCTCCCGCCCGGCGCTGCCTCCTCTGGTCTCACACACAGAGAGGCAGGCCCAGCAGCTCAGCGGTGTGCTGCCCACGGCCACAGTCTGCTGGCCGGGGACCCGGCACCCACCACCATGACTCCACCATGACACACACACATTACATGCATATACACATACTACACACATAATACACGCTACATATATACACACCACACACATATATCACCATACACACACACACACACACACACCACCACACACAGGGTGTTTTCACATACGCACACACACTTATACACATACACACAGCACGCATACATACACACATATACCACCACACACACACACACACATATACACAGCACACACACATACACGCATTACATGCATATACACGCCACACACACACACCACCATACACACACACACAGCACACACACACATACACACATATACCACCATACACACACACTTATACACATACACACAGCACACACACATATACCACCATACACACACACACACACTCACACACACACACACACTTATACACATACACACAGCACACACACATACACAAATATACCACCATACACACACACACCACCATACACACACACAGCACACACACACACATTACATGCATATACACATACTACACACATAATACACGCTACATATATACACACCACACACATATATCACCATACACACACACACCACACCACACACTTATACACATACACACAGCACACGCATATACACACACACTTACACACATACCACACACCACCACCATACACCCCCACGACACACACACACCACACATAACACACACACACACACACACACACACACACACACACCTCAAAACCAAGGCCAGAAGCGCTAACGCGCTAACCCTCAGCCCCCCAGGCTGGGGACGGAGCGCAGTGTGGGGAGACACCCTCCTGAGGCCCAGTCCAAAAGCTGGGGTGGGCAGGACACCGAGGAACCAAACCCCCTGGAGGCAGCTCTGAGCGAGGCTCCCAGTGAAGCCACGGGATTAAAACGGGGGTCAAGCAAGTGGTCAGAGCAACCCACACACAGCCCCCCTCCCTCACGAAGGCCTGGCCAGGGAGGGCACATGCCACGGACCCCGGCTCCAGTGCCCGCACACCGTGTCCAGCAAACAAGCAAAGAGCACGCTCAGCTTAATGGGCAGGAAACAGAGGACAGAACAATCCACAGAACCAGCTCAATCTAAAATCCCAGCAACGTCGAGGATTTCATGGGAAAGGTGAACAGAATGCATGAGCAAATGGGCATTTCAGCAGAGAGGCGGACACCAGAGTCACAATGCCAGAGGAAAACAAAAGCACACCAACAGAACGCAGGGTGCGTCTGACGGGCTCACAGCCTGGCCTCCGCCTGACCCAGTGGAAGGAAGATTCAGTTCTCCTGAAGACGGCTCAGCAGAAACTGGATGATCATTGGCAGTGGTTGGCAGACTCATCCGTCCGCAGAGCCAAATACCAACAGGACAACAACTGAAATTTCTTTGGAGAGCCAAGTTTTTTTAACTTAAACTTCTTCTAACGCCACTTCTTCAACATAGACTCGCCCAGGCCGTGGTATTTTGTGCAAGAGCCACACTCCAGGGGCCAAAGAGCCGCATGTGGCTCGAGAGCCGCAGTTTGCCGACCACGGATCATTGGAATCTCAAAAGAAGAGAAAGAACAGGACGGAAGAAATATTTGGAGAGAGAATGGCTGAGAGCTTTTCCAAAAGAGTGAAAGATATCAAACCACAGGTCTAGGAAGCTGAAGACCCCCCACCCCCGAATCAAGGTAAGTATCCCCGCCCTGAAAAACACACGCTAGACTTCTATTAAGCGCCAAAAATCAAAGAGAAAGAGAAAATCTTGATCGCAGCCGGAGGGAGAGAAGACCCATCCTACAGAGGGCCACAGAATGACAGAACTTTCCATGACACCACGCGGTCCACCCCGCTGACCAGAGGAGGGGCCCTCACTGCCGGAGCCTGGGCCATCAGGCAGGAGGCGGTCTCCCCTTCCCCCCCTGCAGACACCACAGCTCACAGATGCCATCTGCCCAGGTCACCCAGGTGGCAAGTGGCAAAGCCACATGCAAACCCAGGCCTTCCAGCTCCAAAGCCAGGCTCTTCCTCTCTCCGCACTGGCGCCTCCTACAGGCCCATCCGTGGCGGGAGGAGGGAAGCAAGGGAAAGAAGGGAGCTGGGCGACCCCCCCCCAGATCCCCCCCACCCCTGAGGCCTCAGCCCAGCGGCAAAGCCTTGAGATCCCCCATGGCCTTAGACCCAGTTACAAAGCCACGGAGAGAAGGCACTCTCCTCCCTCCTGCCCGGGGCCTGAGCCTGGCCCCCTTATGCCTTTCCAGAGATGGCACTGCCCCTGAGAGATGGAGGGAGATGGGGGGCAGTGGGGGGCGGTGGGGGGCCTCTGAGCCTCTACAAAAGGCAGGAGCTCCTCGTGAATGAACATGGCAGGGGCCTGGCACACAGATCACCATTCCGAGCTGTGGCGGCCTGCGCTCAGACTGCCCGCCGGTCTCGTGGCTCAGTGCTTGAGCTTCGACCTATGAGCCGGGAGGTTGCTGTCCGTTCCCAGCATGCCTGGGGTGCAGGCTCCATCCCGGGAGGGGGGAGGGGGGAACCAATTGATTTCCCCTCCTCATTGATCTCTCTCTCTCCCTCCCTCCCTCTCTGAAATCAATCAGAATACATTTTTAAAGAATCAGGGTGTGGGAGTGGCCTCAGCGGCTGCAGTTCAGGCTGTGGGTTCTCAGCAGGGAGCTCACACCCACCCACGGGCAAGCGCGGGCGAGAACCTGGGTCCTGACCCCAGACCAGCTCTTCCTGCCACACCAGCTGCCACCGGAGAGCACCTCAGGCCCCTCTCCCTCTGAGAGGAAACCTTCAGGGCGATTCTGGGGGGGACCAACTCTTCGGTCCCCTCGATGCTTCATGTAGTGAACAGGGGCTGGCGGGGAGGGGGAAGCCCTCAGTACCACCACATCAGAGCCAGTGTCGCCATCATCATCCCCAAGAAATGCTCCCTCTTACCTGCCACCATCCCCTGGGGTGGGTGAGAAGGTAAAGAAAGCAAAAAAGAAACAGAAGCCCTGGGTGGTGCAGCTCAGTGGGTTGAGCATCGTCCATGTACCAAAAGGTTGCCAGTTCCATTCCCGGTCAGGGCACGTGCCAAGGATGCTGGCTCAATCCTAGTAGGGGGTGTTCAGGAGGTGGCTGATCAATGCTTTCCTCCTCCCCGCACCACCCACCCCGGCCTCCACAGCGCCCATGACTGCTCCTCCTTCACTCCCGGGACCTCAGTCCCCTCCACACAGCCTTGGTCCAGCCACATGAGCTTGGGCAAGGCGCCCGCCTCCTGGGCCCTCCGTTTCCACTCTGGGAGGCAGGGGCCAGCTCCGTCCTGCCTCGCAGAGCTTGAGGAGAAGGTGCTGGGACCACGGGCACAGGGGGCTTCGTGACCACAGAGCTCCCAGCACGGCAGCCGCCTGATGCTGCACCTGCCGGCTCACACCGGCTCTCGCAGGCAGTCCCCGGGGCCCGGCCTCCGACACGGAAGGTGAGACACAGGCAGACGGGCGGACGGGGAGCAGGGAGAGGCTGCGAGGCCACGGGGCTGGGGAAGCTCTGCACCTCGGAGGGAGCCCCGGTGCGGGGGAAGGGACCTCGCACAGGGTCCGAGGCCTCGGCTGCACTGCCCGTCACCGAGAGTTTCCTCTCAAAGCTTCCATAAACTAACGCCTCCTTCCCCACCCCGGTGCCCAGAAAGGTCCCTGCTGCCAGGCTCCCCCAGCCCACCCCACCCCACCCCCATCCCCAGTAGGGCCTCTCAAAGCATCTCCCACAACCCCCCACCCCCAGCGCTTTCCCAGCGACCTCAGTGACCTCCGGGCTGCTGCTCCACGCGCTCCAGCTCCTCTCCCCCCATCTCCTGTGCAAATGGAGGCAGCAGCACAGACCCCGGTCCCTCCTGGGCAGCTCCCAGCCCTGAGAACTCCCCGCACCAAGTTCCCTCCGGTCTCGGGCAGGCAAATCCGGCCCCAAACCGGCTCCAGGCGATCTCCAGTCTCTGGACCCACTGAATGCGGGTTCTCCCCCACGTCTGTCCCCCATGGCTCTGAAACCTGGACCGTTCCAGCCCCCTCCCCCACGGGGCTGGGGCGGCTGGGGCCACAGCATTGGGGGTGCACACCTCCTTCCTTCCCCTCTCCCCAAGCTCCCCCACCGGCACAGCTCCCACCCTCCACTGAGGGCCCTCTCAGCCTTCCTCAGGGGAACTGGGCCCAGCTCCTGGGTGGCGGGGACCCACAGCTCTCCCGGCCCCGCAGCCGCTGCCCCCCTCCCTGCCCCCCTCCCTGTGGGTCCCACATGACCTCCAGCCCTCCTTCTCCTTCCCCGCTGCTGCAGCCCAGCCACAGCGTCTGGACCAGCGCCTCCCTCCCTCCCTCCTGCTCCCACAGGCAGGGGGACCAGAGGGAAGTGAGGGGGCCTGAGGGAGGTGAGGGGCCGGAGGGAGGTGAGGGAGGTGAGGGGCCGGAGGGAGGTGAGGGGCCGGAGGGAGGTGAGGGAGGTGAGGGGCCGGAGGGAGGTGAGGGAGGTGAGGGGCCGGAGGGAGGTGAGGGGCCGGAGGGAGGTGAGGGGCCGGAGGGAGGTGAGGGGCCGGAGGGAGGTGAGGGGCCGGAGGGAGGTGAGGGGCCGGAGGGAGGTGAGGGGGGGGGGGGGAGGTGAGGGGCCGGGGGGAGGTGAGGGGCCGGAGGGAGGTGAGGGGCCGGAGGGAGGTGTAGAGAACCAGAAGGCCGCCTCCCTCTCCCCAAACCTCACAGCCTGGCGGGGACAGCCTCCCCAGGCCCTGCGCCCGCTCGGGGCTGCGACCTTGGGCAGAGGCTCCGCCGGCGGACGACGCGGCTGCCAGGGAGATGACGTCAGCGGCGCTGGGAGATGGGGGAGCCCCGGCCTGCCGTCCGGGTGACGGAGGCCCTGCAGCCGGGACCGGCGGTCCCCCCACCGGAGCCCACGCAGGAGGGGCAGGCCCAGGCCCGCCGCCCACCCCTCCCGGCCTCCACCGGGCTCTGCCCCGCCCAGGCGGACGGTCCGGGCACAGAGAGGTGGGGGCTGCCCAAGGTCACACAGCCGCGGGGGCGGGCAGGAGCGCCCCGGCCTGGCTCCCGCCCCCGGTCCAGCCTCCCGCGGCCGCCGGCTTCCCCTCCGGAGGCTCCCCCCGGCCTCAGGTCCCCGAGGCGGGCCCCCGCCCACCCCGCCCTAGGGGTCCCCCCGCCCTAAGGGTCCCCCCGCCCTAAGGTCCCCCCTCCCTAAGGTCCCCCCGCCCTAAGGTCCCCCCGCCCTAAGGGTCCCCCCGCCCTAAGGGTCCCCCCGCCCTAGGGGTCCCCCCGCCCTAGGGTCCCCCCGCCCTAGGGCTCCCCCCCGCCCTAAGGGTCCCCCCGCCCTAAGGGTCCCCCCGCCCTAGGGCTCCCCCCGCCCTAAGGGTCCCCCCGCCCTAGGGCTCCCCCCGCCCTAAGGGTCCCCCCGCCCTAAGGGTCCCCCGCCCTAGGGGTCCCCCCGCCCTAGGGCTCCGGCGGAGGGCGGGGCGCGGGGCCGGCGGGCGCGCTCACCGGACTTGGGGTAGGTGACGATCCACACGTCGCTCGGCCGCACCGGGAAGTCGGCGATCTCCTCCATCTTCCCGCGGCAGAAGGGCGGCAGCCGCACGCCGTGGAACTCGAAGTACTTGCTCTCGAACTCGCCCGGGGTGCTGGGCGTCTCGGCCTCGCTCTCCGCCATGCCGCCGCCGCCCGGTGCCCGCCGCCCGGTGCCCGCCGCCCGGTGCCCGCCGCCCGGTGCCCGCCGCCGCCGCCGCCGCACCGCGCCCACGCCCGCCGCCGCAGGCGTGACGTCACGGCGCCGCCGCGCCCACCGCGCCGGGCCTGCGCTCCGCCTGTATGACGTCATGGCCCCGCCCTCCGCAGACGTGACGTCTGAGGCCTCAGGGCCCGCCCCGCCCACACCTGGCGGCTGGCACCCACCGCCAAGGAGGGCCGCGGGGGACCCCTGCCCACCCCAGTCCGCATCCCTCCATCGCGCCTTCCTTCACGGCCCCTGAGGCCGTCATCCCGCAGCGCCCGGCCCGCTCAGGAGATGCTGCGGCCAGAAGGGGCCTGAAGGTTCCTTCATTCCTTCCATGCCCTTCAGGAGGCATCTGACCTGTGCGCCCTCCGGCTTACACTGTGAATAACCAGGACAATCTCAGGTAGACGTGTGCGAGCAGAGATCCCGGGCCGGGGGCGGGGCGGGAGGGGGAGGGGGACTGCAGCTTCCCAGGACCAATGGCAGCCCCAGAGGACACTCTCCAGTAGCACCCCAAGTCTGCTTTTAATAAGGCGCTTCGTGAGCAGGGAGCAACTTGAGAACAATTCTAAAGAGGTTTTAGGACGAACCCTCATCCAATCACTGACTCTCGCTTTCTCTATCTCTATCTCTATCTCTATCTCTATCTATATCTATATCTATATCTATATCTATATCTATATCTATATCTATATCTATATCTATATCTATATCATCTACATCTATATATATCTATGTTCTCGCATGAGTGAATGCTGATGCTCCAGGTGGGGTTCTCACTGCAGAAGAAGGCAAGGAAGAGCCGTGTGGTATTGAACTGGAACCTGAGGTATTGATATGAGTTTATTATTTTTAAAACTATTTCTTCTCTTTGCTCACAAGGCCCTTGGCACTGGGGTTCCTCACACCAGGCATACCCAGCGCCCAGATCTCCTTGGTTTCCAATACTCCCCCCCAAGAAGGAAGCGGGTTTCCTGAAGAAAAGGTCAGTCCCAGGGCTGGGAAAAGAGTACGAGATGAGCCTAAAACATCTTGTTGGGCCAAAAAGAGAGAAAATGTTTTTAAGTGATAAGGGTCTGTCAAAAGGGCACAGCGGTAGCTCGCAAGGCCAAGTTAGGAACAATTTGCACATGTTAGACAAAAACTGGAAACAACTAATACATCCCTCAGCAGTAGAATGGCTAACCAGTGGTGTATTCATTCACTGGGATGCTTACCACACTGTGTTTAACGGTATGAAGAGTCACTGGTACAGGCAGCACCGGTGAGCTTTGCAATCAGAATGATGAAGCCCGGTCAGCAGGGGTCCGTGGTGAGCGTCCACCTGTGAACCCAGAGGTCAGGGCACATAACTGGCTACGGGCTCCATCCCCCAATGGGGGGCGTGCAGGAGGCAGCTGATCAATGATTCTCTCTCGTCACTGATATTTCTTTTTCTCTCCCTTCCCCTCTGAAATCAATAAAAAATATGTATTTTTTAAAATGACGAGTAAAAGAAGCCAAATACAAAAGGTAACATGTCCCATGATCCCTTTCAAAGACAAGCAACACGAATCTACAGTGATAAAGGCCAGGAAAGGGCTTAATGCGAGTCCAAGGGAGAGAGCTGAGTGGGAAAAGACACGGAGTGCCCTCCAGCGTGGTGGGGACGTTAGCTTGCTCCGTGGTGGTTACGTGATGACTTAGAGTGCACATAGAGTAGGTGCCCTATACATGCGGTGATGGAAAGAGGCAGAAACCGGTCCATAAATGCACAGACAGGGCCTGCCCCATGGTCTGTGCCCAGAGGGCCCTGCACGTGGGGTTTAGTGCTCTGTGGTCCCATCTTGAAATTCGCAATCGTTTTATTTGACCTGTGCTCTATGCGTGCAGTCTGACGGGTGATGGAGCACGTGCTGAGGATCTGGAGCCTCGGAGCAGGAGGGGTCCACCCACTCCCGCCTTCTCGGGACAAGTTCCTGTTTGCCCGCTCCTCTGTCCTCCAGCGCCCCAGCCCTGCCCAGCCTCTCTCCTCGCCCCTCCCCACGGACCAAGGGCCTGAGAAGAATGCTCACTCCCCATGGCATCTCAGACTCGTTGTCATGGTTGTCCTAGCCTGGCAGCGCCCAGGGCATTTGGTGGGTGAATCAGCCAGAGTGAGCCTCTCTCCCACCCCCAGTTCAGGTGCCCATTTGTCTGGCATGGAGGTTGCAGTACCCTCGGGGCGGCAGGCCTATGGGGAGGGGAGATCCCTGGCTGAGTTCCCGCTCCCAGCCACGGCGTGACATGTGGGTCCCACCGCTGACAGGAGGAGAGGGGCAGCCAATGGGCAGCTCTCAGAGTCAGGGGCTTGTCCCCCAGGCTCTTGTGAGGGTCTGCAGGTGCCCTACGAGGGATGCAGTGTTGGAGGGAGGGGCATGAACTACCTAGAGCAGACAGTAAACACGTTGATGGGTTGGGAGATTGTGGACATTATATTAGTACCTTGAACAGCATGTTCCCTGCTTTTTGAACAAGAAAAGCTACACTTTATTTATTTTTATTTTTTCATATATTTTATTGATTTTTTACAGAGAGGAAGGGAGAGAGAGAGAGTTAGAAACATCAATGAGAGAAGAAGGGCTACACTTTAATCTTGCACCAGGACCCAGTGTTAGGAGTCTCATTCTCCTCAGATTTCTGTGTAGAGTCTCTGCAATCCCAAGCAACACCCCAATGGGCTCTTTTGTACAAATTAACAAGCTGTGCCCGGCCAGTGTGGCTCAGTGGTCGAGCATCCACTTATGAACCAGGAGATCAATGCTCAATTCCTGGTCAGGGCATGTGCCCAGGTTGCAGGCTGGATCCCCAGTGTGGGGTGTGCAGGAGGCCACCGACCAATGATTCTCTCCCACCCTTGATGTTTCTCTCTCTCTCTTCATCTCTGAAATCAATAAAAATGTTACTTTTAAAAATGAACAAGCTGCTTCTAAAAGCTATATAGGAAGCTATAAATCAAGGCAGTGTGGGCTGGGCATAAGCAAAGACATATACTTAAATGGAACAGAATAGAGACCCCCCCAAATAGGCACACACCTATACGATGGCTTGTTTTCTGACTGATATCCTTAAGGGCAGGGAACAAAAGCTTCTTATGCCAAGGCCTGGTCTGCCCGCTGGTGTGCACGCTCCGTCTCTGGGGTGTGGAAGAGGCCGGAGAGCCTGGGTCCTGAACGCCTTTTCCTAATGAGGTGGCCCGGAAGCCCTCTCCCTCTGACATCCCTAAGGCAGCGGAGGCGGCTGCGGGAAGGCTGGGCTGGAAGGCGGCCGCGGGTCGCTGTCCGCGGTGCTGAACTGGACAGCTCCCCAGGCCCCACCGCCTTTCCTCGTCTGTGATTCCTAAAAGCCACGACGGCTGGTCGCCCTGCTTTTGCTTAGTTTTATTTACGTGCCATCCTGATGCATAGTTTCCTGTTTGTATGTACTCTCCATGTTTTAAGGTAAGTACTTATTTATTATAGACAGGTCAAACTCATAAAATCAGAGAGAATAGTGTAATGAACCTCTATGTACTAGTCACCCCGTGCCAAGTGCTAGCAATTCATGTTTCATCAACTCTCACTCACCTCCCCGCACAGGATTATTTTGAAGAAAACCTCATGCATCGTGTCATTTAATTTATAACAATTTCAGGACTAGATGCTCAGTGCACAAAATTTGTGCAAGGGGAGGAAAGTGTCCCTCAGTCCAGCCTGCATCTTCTCCAATCTGGAATCCCTCTCAAAATCCAGGACTGCTGGCTCCCAACCGCTCACCTGCCTGCCTGCCTGCCTGATTTCCCCTAATCACTTCTGCCTGCCAGTCTGATTACCCCCTAACCACTCCCCTGCCAGCCTAATAGATGCCAGCCTGATTGCCCCTAACTGCCCTCCCCTGCTGGCCTGGTCACCCCTAACTGCCCTCCCCTGCCAGCCTGGTTGACCCTAACTGCCCTCCCTTGCCTGCCTGGTTGCCCCTAACTGCCCTCCCCTGCCAGCCATCTTGTTTTCACATGGGGGGGGGGCATCTTGTGTGTTGTGAGTAGTGGTCAATTTGCATAATACCTCTTTATTATATAGGATGATCTCTAGAGGATAATAACCACGTGAAAACATATGCCAAATGCATTAACACAACTAAAAAGTAATGGCTACCCCTTAACATCACCACACATGTGGTCAGTGTACACAACCAGATGTATGGGTGAGATGCAACGCTCAGCAGTGTTGGGGTATCTGCCTGGGGATGCCTAAGGTCACCAGTACTTACTGCTGGGACACAGGTTGCCCCTCTAGCATCATGTGACCAGGGCCACAGATTGGCACATACCAGTCTGCTTGCCACAGATAGCGTCAAGCAAGTCCGAGGCACCGGGTGCTGACCCGGGCAGATGCTCACACCCACAGGGTGGTCCCTGAGGACACCTGTGCCCATGAAGGACAGGCTCCAGCCAGGTGCAGGTCAGGGTCAGTTACACCGGGACCTCTGCAGGGTCAGTCACACCGGGACCTCTGCAGGGTCAGTCACACCGGGACCTCTGCAGGGTCAGTCACACCGGGACCTCTGCAGGGTCAGTCACACCGGGACCTCTGCAGGGTCAGTCACACCGGGACCTCTGCAGGGTCAGTTACACCGGGGCCTCTGCAGGGTCAGTCACACCGGGGCCTCTGCAGGGTCAGTCACACCGGGTCCTCTGCAGGGTCAGTTACACCGGGGCCTCTGCAGGGTCAGTTACACCGGGGCCTCTGCAGGGTCAGTCACACCGGGGCCTCTGCAGGGTCAGTTACACCGGGGCCTCTGCAGAAGAGTCCTGAGCGGAGCCACTGTGTCCCCAGACCTGAGCGTGACATCCACCACTGACTGGCTGTGCAGCCCGGGACAAGGCACTTGGCCCCTCTGAGCCTCGGATGCCTCGTCAGTGTAACTCACCGTGGGTCACCCAGCCTGCTTTGGCATCTGCAGGCCCCTCTCCCGGAATGACTGTCTGCCAGCCCACATCTAGGCTTCCGCAGAGACTCCGTCAGAACCCCTTTCCTCCTGGAAGCGCCTCTCCTGCACCTGACCGCGGGTTCTGTCTGTGTGAGGGGCTCGGGGGAGAGCTGGAGGCCCGTGCAAAACAGCCAGTCCAACCCCTGGTTTTAAAGACAGGATATAAGGAGCTGGATGAGGAAAGAACTTGCCTGGTGTCACAGGGGCCGCCGGTGGGCACCCCAAAGAGGAACACACAGCTGGGATTCCGAAAAGGTTTTAATCCCTTTAACCTCTCTCCTCTCCCCCCCCCCCCCTGGACTCTCGCTGGGTGGGCCCAGGAGGAAGTGAGATGGAGGCTGAGGAGTGAGCCGGCCATGGGGGTCATGCCTGGGGGCTGGCAGGACAGAGAACTCAGAGAAAGGATCTGAGGGCAGCACAGCCCCATCACGCCATCTGCTCCCCATCTCAGGGATGGCATCTTCCGTGCCTCGTAAAGCGCTCAGCTCACTGCCAGGGGCCCGGCCGGGCGCCTGACCCACCCTTCTCCACAGCAGCCCCACCCGCGGGCCCCAGAGGGACGGGCCAGAGCCCAGGTGTGCGTCACTCCTGCTTCCTTTCTCCTCCGATGAGACGGGCAGGCGGCCCAGGCACACGGTGGCTAGGACACAGCGACAGGCTGGGCCCCTCCCCAGGAAGAGGAGCCCCAGGGAGCCAGTTCCGGGGAGGAAGGGCCCCAGGGGGCTGGCGGTCCCCTCTGGCTCCTGAGGGCCACCCCCCCACACCACCCGGAACGGGAGCCTGAGAGGAAGAGGGACATAGACAGTGCCACGCGGACCTCCGGGGCCAGGGGTAAGGCTCGGCTCCAGAGGTTGAGTCAGAACCTGGCCTCGCTCAGGATGGGACATGGGCCCCCAGGACAGGGGCCACAATAGACCGGGAGAGGCCAGTCAGGGCTGGCCCAGCCTGGGGCCCCTCAGGCCTGAGGGGCAGGGGGCATGGGCTTCTGGGCCGGGTCCTTGGCAGGAGCTGCCTCCGGTGGGAGGGGGCTGGCGACAGGTGAGCTGCAGAGGAAGCAGAAGCCAGTGAGGGCAGTGGTCAGAGCCAGGGGTGGGGGAAGGGCTGGGGGATGCCATGAGGGGAAGCCTGGCCCCTGTGAGCCTGGCCACTCCTCCCCCAAGTCCCGCGATGAGGAAGGAAGGACCGAGCCCCTGTCTGGCTGAGCTCAGAGTGATGGAAGATTCCAGGGGGCATGGCGAACCCCCAGGGTCCAGCAGGCTGGCCGGGCCCAGGGCAGTGTGGACTGCCTGCCCAGGGTCAGGGGAGCCGCGGGTGCCTCCTCCCCCCTCCCCAGGACTGCTGTGTGGCTCTGCCCACCGGGCTGCGCTCACCTGAGCTGTCCGAGGAGCTGGTCCCTCATCCTGGAGCACACCCAGAGCACCGCGCGCCTCAGCTCGCCCTGCAACCACCACAGGTCAGCGGGCATGTCCGGCAGCCACAGGGCCAGCCTGGAGGGGGGCAGCAACAGCTTCACCTGAGCATCGACCCAGCTGAGCCCACCCTCCCTCTCCCCACGGGCGGAGGGGAGTCAGGATCCCCGCACCCGGGGCACCAGGCCTGCAGGAAAGGGCTGGGGTGAGGAGCAGCCAGGGGCATGGGTTTCACCGGGCACGACTCAGCCTCCCAGGGCACCTGCAGGAGTGAGAGGCCGGGACTGACACGGAATGGCCTCCTCACTCAGTGAGTGGCCAGGCCCTGAGAGTGCACTCCACAGCACGAGTAGAAAGGGCAGGGGGGATGGAGCAGGGTTTGGGGGTCAGGCTGGCTTGGGGCATAACCCAGCCCCACTGCTTCTCAGCTGTGTGCCCTGGGCGGGGCGGGGAACCTCTCTGGGCCTCAGCTTTCTCACCTGCAGTTCCTAGCCTCCCCCCATCTCGGCCCTTCCTCTCGCCTCTCCCCAGGCCAGCTCCCCCCTCCGCACCCCTGCATGCGCTCTCGGCCCAGCAGCTAGGCAGAGGGCCAGCCGCACGGCCGTGACGGAGAAAGTGCTTGGCCGGCACCTTCCCTGGGCTGCCCTCCCCGGCCTGGCCCTCAGAGGGGCCTCCGGACCAGGCCTCAGACCGGCAGACGGGCCCGGGGCCGTGGGACAAGCAGCAGGGAAGCTGGCTGTCATCTCCCTGGCTCCGGCCCTCCCGCCTCTGTGATCACACCTGGTGCAGGGGACAGAAGTACCAGCAGGCCTGCCCCCGTGGTCTGGCAGGCCTCCCCAGCAGTGCTTGTGGCTGGCTTCTCCTTTTTAACGGGAAAGGTGAAAATTTGCCTTTATCCGGTTTTATTTCAACCTGGGGTCTGAGTCTCATGGCTCAGCTCAAGACGGCGCGGTCAGCGGAAGGCCCTCTCCCAGCTCTGGTCACCAGCTGTCTGCACGACGGGGGTTGGCCCATCATTACCGCCACGTGGAACAGGACGGAGACCGCCACCCGCGGCCAAAGGCCTTCTTCCGGGGAAGAGGGAGCCTGGGAGGGTGCAGCACTCCCAGGACGCCAGGGTCCCCTCGCCACCTTCGACCACAGTCAGGTAAAGAGCACCCTCTCCCCCGGCTGCGGAGCCCCGTGTGCCTGGCCCCGCGGCCTCCCCACCCGCCTGGGACAGCCCTCACCTGTGGGCCCATCTCACTGGCTTCCCTTCCTGCTCCTCCAATGAGCCTTCCCTGCTCCTGCCCCCGGCCTTTGCCCATGCTGTTCCATCTGTCTGAAACGATTTTCTCTTCCCTCTTTGCTCAGTGCATTCTTATTCGCCTTTCAGATTGTAGCTCAAAGGTTATCTCCTCTAGCAAGGCCAGCGTGGCTCAGAGGCTGAGCATTGACCTATGAGCCAGGAGGTCACAGTTCGATTCCTGGTCAGGACACATGCCTGGGTTTCGGGCTCCACCCCAGTGTGGTGTGTGCAGGGGCAGCCGATCAATGTTTCTCTCTCCTCACCGACGTCTCCATCCCTCTCTCCCTTCCATGGCCAGGCAGCCCCTGGTGTAAGCCATCCCGGCTCACAGCCAGTGCAGCCCCAGGCACCTCCAGGCAGAGCGGTGCTGACACATGAGCGTGTGTGACTTGTGCCCCCAGGCTCCCAGGCCAGGGCCTGGGTCAGCGCTGCCCTCTAGCCCCCAGCCGGGGCGGGGCCCCTGCTAAGCCAGGGCTGACTCTCGCTAGAATAAACAAACCGCACAGAGCGCTCCGTCAGTCAGCAGAGTTAGAGTGAGGAGAGGGGCTTAGCCTCAGCCAGCCTGCCATGCAAGGAATCTGAGGCCAGAGAGGTTAAGAGACCTGGCCCAGGCCACACAGCAAAGCTGAGCCAGTCCAGCCCCTGGAGTTGTTTTTAAAAATGGCACAAGGTCTCTGAGGCTCTGACCGATGGGACCCAGGTCCTACAGCCAGGAGTGGCCAGGGCACCGGCCAGGAGGCCCCGGCTGGTCCACAGCAGCTACAGCCTCCGAACCAGCCCTGAGCGCCCTCTGGGTCACTCAGCCAACACCTGGCGGCGTGGAAAGCCCAGCCAGGCTCTGCCCACTGATGTGCCGGCCGCCCTTCCCGCCCGGGCGCTGGGCTCCACCCCAGCCCCGCCTGGCCTCACCTCCGGCCCCGGAAGTAGACGAACTCGAAGGGCAGCGTGCAGGGCAGCAGCAGGTAGGCCAGCGCCTTCCCGGGCCCGGACTGGCGGAAGCGGGCCCAGGGCCTGGGGTCACTCCTGTTCGCCTTCCTCAGGGCTGCAAGAGAAGCGGGAGCGTGCCCACCGGCCCCTCTCCACCCTGCAGCCCGCAGGGGGTGCCCACCCCACCCGCAGAGCGAGGAACAGATCAGCCCTGGGAGCCAGCAGGCGCCAGGCCCTCAGCGGGTGCCCATCACCGTCCGAGAAACGGGCAGGTGCTCCCCTGTTAGCAGAGGAGACAGGCTCAGAGTGGAGAGGGCAGTGGCAGGGCCGGGATGGAGTCCTCTCCCAGCGTCTCTCTGCAAAGTCTGCGGCGGCCGCTGGGAGGGAGCAGGTGCTCACACCTTACCTCCCTCCATAACAGGACCAGCGGGGTCCCTAACCACAGCGGTGACTGCAGCTGGCCGGGACGACATTTCCCAGCCCTCTGTCCCCTTAACTGACCGGGTGGAAGGGGCCTGCACCGGCTGGGGCAGAACCGGAGCCCAAACCCTGCACCGGACCATGGCACCGTCACCTGCCCCCAAGGTCACATTTGCCAAGCCCTGAACAGCCCCCAGACGACCTGCCGTGGCCCGGACTCCTGCCTTCCCCTCCCCGAGCCCAGGCTGCCTCCCTGTGATGCCAGGACAGGTAGGTGAGGATTAAGGGGTGCCTGTGAGGGCCAGGCCAGCTGACTATTCCGTTCCCAATCTGGGAAGGGGGCGTCCCTCCCCAACCCCAGGTGCTGGCTGCCGTGCCCCATCGAAGAGGCGGCTCTCTGGTGCCCCCGAGTGGCCAGGGATGGGGCCAGGGTTGCAGAACGCCAAGCTCCTACCCAGGGCTCAGCACACATTAGAGCCCATTTCCGCTTGCCCTATGTGGTCCCTCCTCCCTCCCATCCCCTCGCCCCCTCACGGACCTGCTCTGGCCTCACCACCCTCATCTTTCCTCCCAGCCTCCTGCCTCTCAGCCTGTCCCGCAAGCTAACAATAACGGAGCAAGGCAGAGCGATCCATCCGCCAGTCATGGACTCCTGGGCAGTAATGACTAGAGTTCAGAGTAGAATGAACTCTGAGATGAGGGAGAGGGCTGCCCCTCAGCACACCCCTCAGTGGCCCCATCTCTCCCCTCGAGGCCACATACCCAACCTTCCCAGCCTCTCTCAGCTCATCTCTGCTTCCTGGCCCCTCAGCCACGGTCACAGCCACGGGAGCCCCCAACTCCTCCCCCACCACGTGCCCCAGGACATTTGCACATTCTGTCCCCTCCCCCTGGACCCTTTCTCCCCTCTCTTTGCCTGGCTAGCTCCCCCACCCCACCAGCACCGTTACAGCTGTCCGCAGGACACCTGTGATTGCAACTCTGACTTCGAGGTCACCAAGCAGGACTCCTGGTTCTGCCATTTGCTGGCTGTGTGACCCTGGGCAAGTCACTTAACCACTCTGTGTTGTGGTTTCCACGTTGGTACAATGGGGACAACTCAGTGGCGTCCTCAGAGGGTTGTTGAGATGATGGAATGAGTCTAGAGCCTCTGTATGTGCCCACCCCCATGCCCCTCAGTACCTCCTGCCCTGCCTCCCCCCTGGGCAGTGGGCAAGGGCCTGGCTTTCTCAGGCACAGACTCGGGTTCAAATCCCCCAGCTCCCAGCTCTGTGGCCTTGTGGGTCCCTTCCCCCCCCTGAGCTTTTTCCTCATCCCTGAGACTGGGAGCGGAAGCCCCACGCAGCCCACAGGGGTAGTGAGAAGCGAGTGACACCACACGGAAGAGCCCGGGCACCCCTGGCACTTAGCAGGAGCTCAGAGTCCCGCCCTCTTCCAGACCAGAGCGCCCAGGGCCAGGCCCCATGCAGGGCGGCTGGGTGCTGGCGCCTGGGGGCGGGCAGGGCGGGAGGAATGGGCAGTACCGGCCTCCAGCTCCGGCGACAGCTGGTCGAAGTTGGGCACGTCCTTCACCAGCACGTGGGGCACTGCCCAGTTGAGCGACAGGCCCGCCCTCTGGCCTCGGCTTGGGCCAGTGTCCTGGGTCCCGGGGGCGGGGGCCGGGGGCTCCTTTGATACCAGCGTCCACAGCACCGGCTCCTGGGTGAGTCCTGGTGGGGAGAGGCGGGATGTGGTCACACAGAGCCTGCCCGTGACCGGGACTCCCGGCTCGCCACGCCGCCACCTGCCGGCACCTCTCAGGCCAAACCCCGAGATGAGGACACGCCTGCCGCCCGAGGGACGGCAGAGGGACCGGCTCACCGAGACACCCCCCCAGCTCTGCGCTGCTTCCTGCTTCTCCCTCTTTTCCTGTTTGACTTTTTCTCATTCACTTTCCTGGTTCATCGGAGCCCAGACCCTGGAGACCTGGTCCAGGGTTCAAATCCCGCCTTACCTCCGTCAGCTCTGTGACCTGACAGTGGGGCCTCGGCTCCCCTCTCCGGGCGGGGGGATGAAGGCTGCTCTGTGAGGCTCCTGAGAGCCCAGGTCCCAGTAAACCCTCCTCACGGCCGTGTGTTTGGGGCCGCAGTGTGGGGGAGCGGGGACGTGGGTTTGGGGGCCAGACAACCTGGGTTCGAACCTCCGCTCTAGCACTCTGAAGAGCCCGGCCCTGAGGGACCACATCCAAGCCCCCTCTGGCCCACACACTGCCCCATGTACACTCACACACACACACACACACACACACTGCCCCATGTACACATACACACACACACACTGCCCCATGTACACACACACACACACACACACACACACACACTGCCCCATGTACACACACACACACGGACACACATGGACACACACTGCCCCATGTACACACACACACTGCCCCATGAACACACACACACACACTGCCCCATGTACATACACACACACACACACACACACACTGCCCCATGAACACACACACACACACTGCCCCATGTACATACACACACACACACACACACTGCCCCATGTACACACACACACACACACTGCCCCATGTACATACACACACACACACACACACACACTGCCCCATGTACACACACACACACACACACACACTGCCCCATGTACACACACACACACACACACACACTGCCCCATGTACACACACACACACACACAGACACACGCTGCCCCATGAACACACACACACATACACACACACGGACACACACTGCCCCATGAACACACACACACACACTGCCCCGTGTACACACACACACACACACACACACGGACACACACTGCCCCATGAACACACACACACACACACACACTGCCCCATGTACACACACACACACACACACACACGGACACACACTGCCCCATGAACACACACACGGACACACACATTCCTGCAGCCACACTAAGTGATGGTCCCTCCAGGGGCTGGCCTCCATTCCTTTGCTCTTGCTCACCTCCTCCTGAGTAAAATCTGAGTAGAATGTCCTCTTCCTTTCTGTCTTCCCAACTAGACAAAACCCAGCTTGTGTCCCTGCCTCCAGGAAGCCCTCCGTGCCCACTCCAGCCCAGGCTGGGTCAGGTGCCTCCTCTCGGCTCCCTCAGCGCTGAGCACCCTGTCTCCCTGGGGAGACGTCCCCCTCTGGGTCTGTCCCCTGCACCGGGCCGTGGGCAGCTCAAGAGCGAACACGTGGAATTCCTCTCCGGGCCCCCAGCACCTGGCTCAGCCGCACAGAGCAGATGCCGAGGAGGACAGTGAGCCAAGACCCAGGAAACCTCCCAGGCCCGGAGGCTGCACCCAGCCGGGCTCACGGGGCACGGTCCCAGCTACTGCAGTGGCCGGCGTGGCGCGCGGCGGCAGCGTTTGGACAGGTCCAGCCTCGGACTATGAGAGGGCACAGTCCACTCGTGGCCACGGCAAGTCCCAGCCTGGAGGGCAGAGCCCCAGCACCGTGACAGCCAGCAGCTGTGGTTGTGAGCGTGACCCTGTGGTCCGAACCCGGGGCCGCCTGCCTGAGTGGTAGAGTTCAGGGGCATGTAGTTGAGGAGGATGGAAGCCCCAGAGAATGTTATAAACATCTGGCCACGCCCTTCCTTTGCCTCGTGGCATCGGCTATAAAATAAAGACATGGCTTGTGGGCGCGGCGCTGTCTCCCAGAAGCAAAGTCCCACCGCAACCCAGCTTTCTTCTCCTGTCTGTCTGTCCTACGCCTTCAGCCGCCCCCTCAGGCTCGCCCTTGGCTGAGCTGGCGCTGCACGGGCTGGCACAGGCTGGCACCTACCGCGTCTCTCCAGGAACCTCAGGGCGTCCAGATAGCCTTGTCTGCAGTAGTGGGTCAACACCTGCCAACACACAGGTCAGGGCGGGGTGGGGGGGCCCAGACGTCTCCAGCTGATGGCCTCCGGCTGGAGACTTGTCTTCGACTGGAGTGATCCCAGCCGCTCCCCCTGGGCTCAGTGCTGGGCAGGGCGGAAGCTGGGACCTCACTCCCTCCCCTGTGGCTCCCTGACTGCGGCTGCAGGGCTGCGACTCCTGCTCCGGCCCTCCCCTCTCTGGCCCCAGGATGCCTGGGCCGGTGCCTGGTGCCCATCCGTCAGGGGAGGATGGATCTTTGGTCTGCATCGCCAGGACCGGCCTGAGATGGTGCAGGAACCCTGAGGCCTTGCCCAGCAGCTCGGTCAGAGCCCCAGGGCGGGGAAGAGGCCCCTCAGGCCCCGCCTCCACTCGCTGAGCACCTTGTGGCCTTGCCTGTGACCCGGGCTGAGGTCTGCCCCCCTCTGGAGGGTCAGAGAAGACTCCCTGTGTCCCCCCATGGAACCCTACCCAACCCGGAGCGTGTGGAGAGAGGCGGAGGGCCGGCTGGTTGGGTGGGGGACACCTTATGATGAAAACCTGTTGGAGGTCAAGCCACCCATTTTCCAGAAATACTGAGGGGCAAAGGCAGAAAAGTGGGTCTGTGGTCTGTCTGTCCCTGAGCGTGCGCCTCGCCTCCTCACGGCTGGTCAACCTGGCCACAGTCTGGGGCAGCAGGAAGAAGCATGGGGCAGCTGGCTGAGGATTTGAAACCTGGCTTTGCAGCTTCTGGGCTGTGTGACTTCAAACAAGTCACTTAACCTCTCTGAGCTGCGGGGTCCTTTCCTGAGAAGCAGAGATGATAGTGGTGCCTTCGCACAGAGCCTGACCGGGGGAGCCCAGCAGGGTTGGCGCTGGCCCGGCCGGGGCCAGTCTAACACCCGCTCAGGGGGCGCTGCCAGCTGTGGGTTCGAGAGCTTGACTGAGGCTCTGGGGAGGGTTCGGGGGCATGGAGCCCGGCACAGGGCCCTCGATCAGGGCCGAGGCTCTCACCGCCGCCAGGCTGGCGCCAGGGCCTGCCTACCTCGGAGCTGGGCGAGGCAAGGCAAAGGAAGCCCAGGAGGAAGTTCCGGGTGGAGATCTGGAGGCTGGCGTTGAAGGCGTTCAGCTCCTGCATGTTGGCGGAGGCGCTGGGGGGGCAGATGTCCACCGTCCCATTGAAGGGCGACACGGTGATGGTGCGGGGGCAGTCCGCGAACGGCAGGTTGTTGCTCAGAGCCCCGTCAATGTAGCGCTGCAATGGGGGCCGGCAGTGCTGCCCTCAGGGTGCCCCTGCGGCCACACGGCCAGGAGCACCCACTGCCAGGAGCACCCGCCGCCAGGACACACTGCCAGGAGCACCCACTGCCAGGAGCACCCGCCGCCAGGAGCACCGCCACCAGGACACACTGCCAGGAGCACCCACTGCCAGGACCACCCGCCACCAGGAGCACCGCCACCAGGACACATCGCCAGGAGCACCCGCCGCGGCCGGGACCCCGTGGCTGCCCGTGGCACCAGGTCTGATAGCTCGGCGCTCTGGAGGACTCTCTGAGCACCCCAGGAGCAGGGGCGAGGCTGGCACGCAGTAGAAGCACCCTCCTCCACCGCAGCTCTCCCCGGCAGGTGCCTTGGCCACTCACCTCCCCTCTGAATTTGGGGGGGATCACCCCACAGTAGAAAGGGATGTACAGGGAGCAGATCAAGGCCTGGGGAGACAAGAACCGGCGGACACGGTGCTCATGCTCCTCAGAGCAGCTCCGGGCACCGTCCCACCCCGGGACAGCCCCCCGGGTGGTGTCATTGGCCCGGGGTCCCAGGAAGGGGGGGGCAGGGCGTCCCAGCCCCATCCTCAAAGTTAAGGGACGTGAACGCAGGACAGGCCCGGCTCAGAGTCCGCCCTCTCGCTGCTGAGCGGGCCCTTCCCCCAGGGCTGCTGCTGGGAGCTCTGTGGGAGGACAGACGGGCGGGCGGAGCACCACTCCCTCTCCGCTCCGGCTGAGAAGCCAGGGATGTCACCCCACATGCGATCCTCGGACAACGGTTCCAATGAAGCCACTGCGGCAGGAGCGGGCGTCCCCCCGCCCGGGGCCCCGCCCGCTCACCTGGATGACCTCGTCCCGGGAGGCGAAGTCGGTGACGATGACGTTCTGGCCGTCGGGCCAGCGAGTCAGGGAGATGCCCAGCTGCCGGGAGGCCAGGATGTGGATGTCGGGGGGCAGGAAGGACTGCAGCTGCCGCTGGATGTGCTCGATGGGCGAGAAGGCGGGGTGGAGCACGCCCAGGCTCAGCTGCTCCACCTGCTTGGCCAGGCCCAGCAGCTGGACGCAGCAGAACTCTGGCGGCGGGGACAGAGCCTGAGCCACCGGGCAGGACAGGGCCTGAGCCATGGGGGGGGGGGGGGGACAGGGCCTGAGCCATGGGGGGGAGGGCGGGCGGGGGAGACAGGGCCTGAGCCATGGGGGGGGGCGGGGGGGACAGGGCCTGAGCCATGGGGTGGGGGGGGGGGGGTTGGGGGGACAGGGCCTGAGCTATGGCGGGGGGGGGTGGGGGGGACAGGGCCTGAGCCATGGGGGTGTGGGGGTGGGGGGGACAGGGCCTGAGCCATGAAGGGGGGTGGGGGGGACAGGGCCTGAGCCATGGGGGGGGGGGGACAGGGCCTGAGCCATGGGGGTTTGGGGTGGGGGGGACAGGGCCTGAGCCATGGGGGGTTGGGGTGGGGGGGACAGGGCCTGAGCCATGGGGGGGTTGGGGTGGGGGTGACAGGGCCTGAGCCACTGGGCGCCCGCCACGCCAGCTGGAAGGCTGGCTTCCCTCCTGGGCGCCAGGGCGTGCCCCCTTCTGCTCAGAATGTCTGTGCCCCGCCCTGCGTTCAACGCTCAGTCCCGCCTTTTGGGCAGAGGGACCCTGAGAGCATCCTCCCGGCTCTGAGCCTGGCACCCCTGCCCTGCGGAAAGGGGAGCCCTGGTCCCCGCGCCCAGGTTCTCAGAAGGATCACCCCGGAGCGAGCGCGCCGGGCGGCGGGGCCGCTGGGCGGAGGGGCCGCTGGGCAGGACGGCCCGGACCCTGGACACCCCTCCCTCCGCCCTGCTCCCCTCCATCCGGGCAGCTTCGGGAGGCTGGGAGACCCGGGCCCCCCAGACGCACCGACGGACTGGCCCATGACGACGCAGACGGCGTTGAGCGCGCCCACGGAGGAGCCGTAGATGCGGCGGGCGCCCCGGAGGAGGCGCGGGGCGCGCTCCCGCAGGCAGTGCGTGGCGCCCACGTGGTAGAGGCCCAGGAAGGCGGCGCCGCTGAAGGACACGCTCCAGCCGCCCTCCTCCTCGAAGCAGCTCATGGCGGCGGCGCGGTCCGAGGGGCCGGGGCGGGTGTCGGCGCCGGAGGAGCGCGGTCTGAGCGGCGGCCGGGCCGCCAGATGTGAGCTCCGCGGGGCCGCCCCTGGGCTGGGCCTGGGCTGGTCCCGGCGCCGGGCCAATGAGGCCGGGGCTGGGACACCCCCTCCGGGCGCCCAGGTGCGGCCCGAGCGCCGCCCCCGCAGCCTGCCCGCACCGGGGTCCCGGGATCGCGGCCCAGGTCCCGGGCGGCTGCGCCCGGGGAAAGGGCACCAGCTGCGGCCTGACCTCCGCCCCGCAAGCGCCGCTGCCCCGGGCGGCCGGGGGCGGCCCCGCGGCTCCACTGGCCCAGCGCTCCTCGCTCCCCGGTGGCGCCTTCGCAACGCCGTGCGTGTCGGGCCTGGGTGCCCACGCCCAGCTGCCTGGCACAGCAGGGAAGGCCTCAAGAGCATTGCCCGCACCCTGTGCCTGGGGCAGCGGGGGCATGGCGCACCCAAAGAGATGTCCCCCGTGTTCCCAGGTGACGGGGGCCGGCCGGGAGCGGGCCGGTGCTGGGTTCTAGGACTCCCTGCCTGCCCGCCCCCGCGGGTAAGGGAGCACCCACAGTGGGCGGGCCACGCCGGCAGCCTGGGTGCTGAGGGCCAAAGGCCAGGGGCCAAGTGTGTGATGCCTCTTCGTGAACCCGCGGGAGCAGGACTGCGTTTCTCTCCACAACACACTGACCCCCGGGAGAGGGCTGGGAAGGCTCGCGGCCCATATGTTGGAGTCTGTATGGGGGGTGGGGAGGGAAGGAGAATGAGGGAAAGAGAAAGCAGAACCGAGGACATGTTCCCAGGACCTCAAGGGAAGGGGAGGGGACGCGGCTGGAAAGCGGGGAGTGGAGCTGCACCCTAACCTGGGCCAGCCGGACTCCAACCATCTCAGGCTGCCTGCACCCGCCCCAGACTGAGGGGAGCCAGGCTGAGGGCGGACCCCGGGACCCTCACGGTTCCCTGCAGGGTGCACAGCCCAGGGCCTCTCTCCCGGCGGCGGGGCTGGAGGCTCAAGGGCGGCTGGGGGCAGGGGTGGGGGACGGGGGAGCTCTGAAGGTCAGCAGCCAGTCTCTGCAGGGATCAGCTCCCTGGCACCGGGTAAGTGCCAGGGCGTTTTGTTTTCTCTGTGCAGCACTCTGTGGCACAAACCCTATCGCCAACCCACTTTGCAGGTGAAGAAACTGAGACAAAACCCGGACCGAGAGAGAGCTCCGCCCGGAAAAGGCGGGGCGGGCGGGGCGGGGGCAGGCCGAGGAGGTGGGGAGCCCCAGCGCCAGGCCAGAGGCGCCCTCAGGTCCCCGGCTGAAGGCACAGGCTCCTGACTGAGGGAGGGAGGAGGCCTCTCTGCAGGAGTCAGGACGCACAGGGCTTCTCCCGGGGCCTGAGTGTGGGGGGCTGGAGGCAGGGACCCTGCAGATGCAGTAGTGGCCCTGGACACAGTGAGGGGGAGGGAGGAGGGCACGCGGGGAGTGGGTGCACTGGGGAGGAAGGGAAGCTGTGGGAGGACAGGGAGCTGCAGATGACGCTGGGCAGAGGAGTGGGCATTCTGGGTCACGGACGCCCCGGGGGAGTGTGTGCTTTAAAAACAAAACGGCCTCGATCTGGAGGTAGGCTCAGTGGTCAGGACGCCGGCCGACGCACAGAAGGGTTTCAGGTCCAATTCCAGGTCCGGGGCACATGCCTGGGGTGCGGTTGGCTCCCTGCTCCTGGTCGGGTGCTGTCAGGGTGCGTGCTGGAGGCAGCCAGTCAATGTGTCTCTCTCTCTCTCACATCGATGTTTCTCTTCCTACCCCCCCCCCTTCTGAAAAGCAGTGGAAAGGGTAGCATCAGGTGAGGATAGAAAAAAATCATAGAACAGGGTGGAACTCCATGAACTTCTGGTGTGTCTGCCAGATCCACAGTCAGTGACAAGTGACAAGTGCCGAACAGTGGGTGCAGAATGCTGCCTTGTGCAGAAGAAATAAGAGGGAAAAAGAAAAATTTGATGCATCTCCTTTTATTCCCTTTTCTTTTTGAGAGAGAGAGAGAGAGAGAGAGAGAGAGAGAGGGAGAGGGAGAGAAGGACGGCTTAGATACTGGTATTTACAAGGGGTGGGTGGGGAAGAGTGGAGAGCAACACTGCTTTGAGTTTATCTTTTTTTAAAAAATAAATCTTTATTGTTCAGATTATTACAAATGTAATCCTCTTCCCCCCCTCAATTGCTCCCCTCCACCAGGTTCCCACCCCACCCTCTGCCCTTTCCCCACCCCCCATTGTCCTCATCCATAGGTGCACAGTTTATGTTCAGTCTCTTCCCACATCCCCCCTCTCCCCTTTTCCCCAAGAATCGTCAGTTCACTCCCCTTCCATACCTCTGATTCTATTATATTCAACAGTTAATATTGTTCATCAGATTTTTTTAATTCCCTTGGTTTTTAGATTCACTTGTTGATAATTACGTATTTGCTAATCATAATTTTTATCTTTATCTTCTTCCTCTTTCTAAATAACCTCCTTCAGTAATTCATATAATTCTGGTTTGGCAGTGAACTCTTTTAGCTTTTTTTTATTTGTGAAGCTCTTTAACTGTCTTTTGATTCTGAGTGATAGCTTTGGTGGGTAGATTATTTTTGGCTGTAGGTTCTTGCTATTCATCACCTTGAATATTTCTTGCCATTCCCGTCTGGCCTGCATGGTTTCTGTTGAGAAATCAGCTGACAATCGTATAGGTGCTCCTTTATAGGTAACTACCTGCTTTTCTCTTGCTGCTTTTAATATTCTCTCTTTGTCTTTTGCTCTGGGAATTTTAATTATGATGTGTCTTGGTGTGGTCCTCCTTGGATTCCTTTTGTTTGGGGTTCTGTGTGCTTCCTGGACTTGTAAGTCTAATTCTTTCACCAGGTGGGGGAAGTTTTCTGTCACTATTTCTTCCAGTATTCTTTTGGTATCTTGCTCTCTCTCTTCTGGAATCCCCATAATTCTGATGTTGGTTCGCTTGAAATTGTCCCAGAGGTTTCTTACACTATCTTCAACTTTCTGGATTCTCTTATCTTCTCCCTTCTGCAGAGGAGTGTTCTCTGGCTCTTCATGTTCTAAATCTTTTTCTTGATTCTTGTGATCTTCCAGTCTGTTTTTAGGACTTTGTATAATATTTTTTATTTCAGACAATGTTTTCTTCATTTCTTGTTGATCCCTTATTATTTCTAGTTGCTCCCTTTTCATATCCTCATAGGTCTCATTTATTTTATCGGCCTTTTTTTAGGATATTGTTGAATAACTTTATAACTGTAGTTTTGTACTCAATGTCCAATCTTTTCTTTTCCTCCATCTCCTTTGTCTCCTTCCTCTTGTCTGCATTTTAGTTGTTTCCCTAATTTGATGGAATAGCTTTGTGTTCTAGGTGTCCCAGTAGCACAGCCTTCCCAGTTACCTGCGGGGGACAGTCTTGGTATAGCTCTTTGTGGGCTGTGTGTGCAGTCTTGTTGTTAAGCCTTGCTTATTGTTGGTATCACTGGGAAGCGTTGATCTCCAAGCTAATTGGCTGTGAGGATCAGCAGAGTCTCAGCTAGGAGGGCTTCTGTACTCTGCTTGGATAGGGCGGGGTCTCGGGGTGGCGCAGACAATCTTTGGTTCCCTGTCAGTCTTGCCTTAGAAAAAACCTATTCTCAGAGAGTTTCAGAAGATTGGTTGCAGGCGCGCGCACCTCTTTGGTAAAGGCGCAGACAAGCTTTGGGTTCCGGCCAGTCCCTCCTTAGAGAAAGCCAGCCTCTGGGAGAGCTTCTGTGCTCAGCTTGGATGGGGCCAAGTCTCGGGTTGGTGCAGACAAACTTTGTTTTCCCTTGGGCTTCTCCCCAAATCCCGCAGTAATGGCCTCTGGCTTCACACCCCCCCGAGAGATCTCTGCCCACTGCCTGACAGTTTGGCCTCCCTGTCTGGGGCCGTCTATCAGAGCAATAGGCTGATTCTGTTTTCCTCTGGAACAAGAAAGCCAGCCACACGTTAGCTGTCCACCCTCTCTGTGCGCTGGGAGTAAGCCAGCAGCAATCTCTGTCCGGCCCTTCCTCTCCGTGCCGGGAGTAAGCCAGCGCCTTTTCGCGCACACAGTTCTCCATACCTTCACAGTTCCTGAGGTTCAGTGTGCCTTCTCTCTCCTTCCCAGATGGGAGAGCCTCCTCTCAGCTAGCCGTCTGGTGCTTCAGGGCAATGCCTCCCCTGTTTTCCAGTTCTAAATTCAAATTTGTTGTGGTAGGCTGCATTCGGGTGTCTACCCTATGCCACCATCTTGGTTTCTCCCCCCTGAGTTTATCTTTTTATATAAATTTGATTTTGGAGCCACTCTTGTCTTTTGTACACTAAAAAAATTCATCATATATTAGATGATGGAGAACACATAGAAACAAATGAACTGTATTCCCAGTGAGTCATGGAAACACACAAATAGGGGCTTTCGGACACAGGACTTGGGCTATACAGGGTGGGGCCAAAATATGTTTAGAGATGTTCAGATGGAAAGTAATACAATAATCCTATATAATAACACCAATATGCAAATCAACCGAACAACCTGCGAAACGACAGGTCGCTATGATGTGCGCTGACCACCAGGGGGCAGATGCTCAATGCAGGAGCAGCGAGCCGAGCAGTACAGAGCAGCGAGCAGGTGGGTGGTAAGGAGTGAGGGGTCTCGGATGGGGAGAGGGATTCTGGATGGTGAGAGGGAACCTAGACTCTGAGAGGGCACAGGCCGGGCTGAGGGACGCCACCACCCCTCACCAGTGAACAAATATGCACCTGGCCTCTAGTCCATACATAACAAGGCAAGAATCAACTCTGTTCGGCGTACTCACACCTAAAAACCTACTCAGCCCGTCTGTCCATCCTCATCTGTAAACAAGAGGACTGCAGACAGCAACTTCTGCTTCCTGCATGGCCTCGGAAAGCAGCCCAGCCATCTTTCCTGCGGTTTGTGGGAAGGAGCCAAAGGGAACACACTGACGGTAACTGAAATTAGAGTCTCGCCATCAGAGCAACGCGTTGTGAATGTGGGAAGACAGAGGCTAGAACGAACCCTGGATTGGAATGGAAGAGATCAGCCCCAACTCTCAGGTTGTAGATAAATAGAGAGAGAGAGACGGAGGTAGCTGTGCGCTGGTTACACTCCGGTGGTTTTATTTGGGAGCTCTGGCCCCTGACCGGCCTCGGAGCCCAAGAGGAGCGAGCACACCCAGCACCACGGCCTTGGTTTCCGGGCTCCGTCCCCCGCAAACGGGAGGAAACGCTGGGGACGTGACTGAGGGCCAGGCCGCGCAGGACAGGCACAAGGCGAGCCGGGGCCACCTGACGGCAGAGAGCAGGTGCGAAGAAACGACGGGACTTGTCCAAAGGGCACGGGCGCCAGCCTGCCTGGGTCTGGGACATGTGGACACACAGATAAGCCATTTTAAGAATGCTCATGGGATGAGGTAAGAGTCGATGAGGACATCCATGAGATAAAGAAATAAGTCAGTGGAGGAGAAGTCACAGCTCTCCCTGGTGTTAAATGCTGAGCGGTCACCGGAGAGAATGGACAATTCCTTCCTGAGATTCTCTGTGAAAACGGAGTCTGCCAATCATCGTCAACAGAGGCCAGATCTGGTGGGGACCAGGAACAGTTCAGAGTTTCAGAGTACCGCCCTCACAGTGACTGTTAATCACAAAAGTTTAAAAGAGGTCACACCGTGAGCGACCCTGGCAAAGACAACCATAACCAAGTATCCAAGTCACAAGTATCCCCAGTCACATTGCTCCTCAGTCACCTGCCTCCAGCCGGATCCCCCGAGGGGGACAAGCATGTGAAAGACTGAAGGACCCTCCAAAGATGTCCCATCCTAACGCTCAGAATCTGGAAACATGTTACCCTACGTGTCAAAGAACTTTGCAGGTGTGATTAAATTAAGGATTAAAAAAAATAAATTTATTGGGATGACACTGGTCAACAAAATTATACAGGTTCAGGGGCACGATTCTGTAACGCATCACCTGTACACTGCGCTGTGTTCACCCCCCCAAGTCAAGTCTCCATCCATCACCACGGATCTCCCCAATACTCTCCTCCGAATCACCCCTGCCCTGGAAATCATCACACGGTTGTTTGTGTTAAAGATCTTAAAATAGGGAGATTGTGCCAAAACCAGTGTGGCTCAGTGGATAGAGCATCGGCCTGTGGACTGAAGGGGCCCAGGTTCAATTCCAGTCAAGGGTATGTACATTGGTCGCAGGCACATCCCCAGTGGGGGTTGTGCAGGGGACAGCTGGTCGATGTTTCTCTCTCATCCATGTTTCTAGCTTTCTGTGTCCCTCTCCCTTCCTCTTTGTAAAAAAAAAAAAAAATCAATTATATATATACATATATATATACATAAAATAGGGAGGTTGTTCTGGTTTATCTGGATGGGCTCCGTGTAATGGTACTTCTACAGTACAAGGCGAGAGGGAGGCAGAAGAAGCAGAGAGAGAAGATTTAAAGAAACTGCAGAGCTGACTTTGAAGATGAGGAAGGGGCCACAAGCCAAGGAAGGTGGGTACCTTTAAGAGGCAGGGAGGTGAGGAAAATGTGATTTAAGGGACTAAATTAGACTAAGGGACATCCTAATTAACAATTTGCCTGTACTCTTAAAAAAAAAGACCATGAAAGGCAAAGGCAGCGTGAAGGAGACTAAAGAGAGATGACAACTAAGAATGTAGGTGGCCCTGGACTTGAGCCTGGCCTGCAGGGGCGATGGGCGAAATTTGAATGCGAGTGTGAATTAAGCAATAGCCCTGTGTGGATTAGGCATTGACCCATTTTGGAAACTGCACTGTGATTACATCACAACAGTCCTTGTTCTTATGAAAGATGCTTCCCCGGAGGAGAGCAGAGGCGTGGTATTGCCACCTGGTCTCCTCCTCTGCCTCTGTCCCTATCTATATCTACCTGTCTGCCAATCATCTATCCCTCTATCTATCTATCTGTCTATCTAGAAGGAACCTGTATGTGGCAAATGTCACCGATGGGAGATTCTAGGTGAAGGGGACATGAGAATTCCATTTTTGCATAATTCTTGTAACCTCTCTAAAAATGGGAAGTCAGACCAATAGAACAAGGAGAAAGTCAGCGGCAGTTCTGCCACCCTGGTCTGGCTCAGGCACATGTGAGGGAATGAGTCTCCCAAGGATGGAGGACCAGCTCGTCCTGTGTCACCGAGACAGCCCTGTGGTGACCCTGTTAGCACCGAGCAGCCTGTGTAACAGCGCCCGGGACTGGGAGCCTCCAGGCAGAGCTGATGTGACAGCTCTGATGTGGAGGGGACTTCTGAGCGTGATGACTCAGAGCTTGGGCCCCACCCCACGCCCGCCCCCACGGGCTCCGCTCCCCCTGCCCCATCAGGTGCACTTCGTTCTCCCTTCACACAGCTGGGCGCTGACCCGATTCTGGACCCAGCCAGCCAGTCCTATGAGGACCCATGCAGGCGAGGCGTTCAGAGACAGAAAGTCAGTGCTGGCCCGGGGCTGGCCCGGGGCTGGGCAGGCGGGAGGGGACTTAGTGATCACGGAATAGAGTTTCTGTCCTGCAAGATGAAACCAATGTGCAAATTCTCAATGGCCATGTGTGCACGACCTTGTGAATGCATTAAGGCCCCTAGATTGTGCCTTTAAAAAAGGCTGTCCTGCCGAAACCGGTTTGGCTCAGTGGTAGAGCATCGGTCTGCGGACTGAAAGGTCCCAGGTTCGATTCCGGTCAAGGGCATGTACCTGGGTTGCGGGCACATCCCCAGAAGGGGGTGTGCAAGAGGCAGCTGGTCGATGTTTCTCTCTCATCAACGTTTCTAGCTCTCTATCCCTCTCCCTTCCTCTCCGTAAAAAATCAATAAAATATATATTTTTTAAATAAATAAATAAGGCTGTCCTGTACACTGTGTGAATTAAAGCCAGGGCGGGAGCTGGGCTGGGGTGGGGGCTGCAGGGTGAGATGAGGTGAGGCTGGCACAGGGCTGCCCCTGGGGGTGGGGAAGGTTGGGCAAGGTGTGTGGAAGGGCCAGAAGCCAGCCTGGGGCACTGAGGAGGGACGGTGACAGAACACCTGGCAGGGGGCAGAGAAGCCGGGGCCCCCACAGGTTTGGTTATTAGGTGGAAGGTGCCTGCCCCCATTTTGAGGGACCTCTGAGCCAGCACAGTCTGAGCAGCCCTGTCTGCATGCACCGTCCCATCCAGGACCCAAGCACAGTCCAGTCCCTGCATAAACTTAAAAGTGAAAGTGAAATGGCAACTTTGCTTGCTGTCCTTAATGAGAATCTGCACCACTTGCCATGGTGCTGAGCTGTCACACAGACCTGCAGGAAACCAGTACAGAGGCCGGGAAAGGGGGGAAGATCACGTGTGGGGAAGATAGTAAAGACCTCGGGGCGCTGTCACTTTTTTTTTTAAATATATTTTATTGAGGGATAGAGAGTTAGAAACATCAATGAGAGAGGAGGATCATCGATCAGCTGCCACTTGCACACTCCCCACTGGGGATGTGCCCGCAACCAAGATACATGCCCTTGAACGGAATCGAACCCGGGACCTTTGATCTGCAGGCCAAACCGATGCTCTATCCACTGAGCCAAACAAGTTTCGCAAGCACTTTCCAGCTTTCACTTTCCAGGCCATCCAGCCCTCACCCTCCCTCCAGTGCAGGTCAGACCTTCCTAGGCCCCGCCCCGCATCCCCAGCCCCTCCTAGGCCCCGCCCCACAGCCCGTCTGTCCCTCCTAGGCCCCGCCCCTCAGCCCACCTGCCCCTCATTGGCTCCGCCCCACAGTCCTTCCTAGGCCCCGCCCCTCCGCCCGTCTGTTCCTCCTAGGCTCCGCCCCTCAGTCCGTCTGCCCCTCCTAAGCCCCGCCCCACAGCCCCAGCCCCTCCTTAGCCCCGCCTTTCAACCCTCCTAGGCCCCGCCCCAAAGCCAGTCTGCCCCCTAGGCCCCACACCCCTCCCAGGCCCCGCCCCTCAGCCCCTGCATCCCGCAGGTGAAGGAGCCGGGGGTGGGCGCCGAGCCCCTGATTGGCCCACCCGCCGCAGGTCATTTGCATGGCCGAGGGGCGGGCCCAGAGGGGCTGACTTCCCGCGGGAGCACCTGGGCGGCAGGGGCAGGCGGCGGAGCGCACAGGCGGGCACCGGGCTAAGATGCCAGGGGCCGCAGACCCTGCAGCTCAGACCCCGCGCCCCGGGCCCCGGCCCGCCGCCGCCATGGGCGGCTCCGAGCGCGGCTGGAGCCTGTCCTTCGCGGGCTGCGGCTTCCTGATCTTCTACCACCTCGGGGCCACCCGCTGCCTGGGCGAGCGCGCCCCGCACCTCCTCCGCGACGCGCGCATGTTCTTCGGGAGCTCGGCCGGGGCGCTGCACGGCGTCACCTTCCTCTCAGGCCTCCCTCTCGGTACGTCCGGGGCCGCCGCCGCGCTCCTCGCTGTGAGCGACTCCTAAGGTTGCGGGTGCCCGGTGGATCCGAGTTTGGATCGGACACTGCAGGTACATCCGGGGACACTGCAGGCAGATGCCCCTCCGCGGTGTCCTCTCGCCTCGTGCGCCTGGGCTCTGTCGCCCAGCCTGGGAGGGGGCGCGGGACCCCCCTGTTCCCCCCCACCACCTTAGCCGGGGCTTGAAGGAAGCCCCCATCCCCACCGCTGAGAGCTGGCATTCCCTGAGCTGCAGGCAGAGGGAGCTTGTAGGAGAAGGGGGTGGAGGATGGAGCTGATTCCAACTGCACGGGATGGGGCTGTGGCCTGTGCCCCGGGTGGGCACCTTCTTCCCTCTGGGGACTTAAGAGGCTGGAGACTGCCCCACAACTTCTCCCCCTGGTCCTGGCACCGCTGGTGCAGCCCAGCCCTCCTGGGTGGAGACATCCCAGGCAGAGAGGGCCCGGGCTCCTGAGACCAGCAGGTTTGGCGTTGAGGAGGTGGGTGGGGTTGGTGAAGGAGGATTTGAAAGTTATCTCCTCTCCTTCCCAGGGATCCAGGCCCTTCCTGGGGGCTGGCGGGGCCCCTGGACCTCCCCACACCATGCTCACCCCACACAGTGCCCTTTGAGTTTTGTCGGAATTAAGGTCTGTGCAGGTGGAAGCCGGGGGAGGGGGTGTGTGGCTTGTGCCTAAAGGACTGGGGTGCAGCCTCCTCGGCTTGGGGCTCCCAGTCAGGGGTAGAGCTGGGAGCAAGGGGTAGTGTGGAGCTGCTGGCACCCAAGGTCCCAGAAGGAAGATCATGCGCCGTATCAGCCCCCGTTCACCTGGGCTCCTAGGGCCTCACTCTGGCTGAAGCCAGGGCTGCTGGGTGGGACACAGCCCCAGGGCGGCCTCTGCTCAGGGGCCACGCAGGTAGAGGGAGCTGAGGGACAGGATGGCACATGTCTGGCCTGCTGTGTTCCAGGAATTAAGACTGGCTAGGTTGCGGGCTGGGACAGGCAGTGCTGCAGGCCAGGGCAGCCCGGCCAGTCGGGGATGGAGGGTGGGAGGCAGGCCAGTGAGTGAAGTCAGTCGGGCCATGAATGTGCCCTGTGCCCACTAGGTTTTCCGGTGGCAGAGGTGAAAGGTTAAGATAGTTATCAGGCGCCTCCTCTGAGTTGAGCACCTTGCAGGTGGGAGGGGGAGGCAGGTGAGAGCTGGAGGCAGGTGGGAGGGGGAGGCAGATGAGAGCTGGAGGCAGGTGGGAGGGGGAGGCTGATGGGAGGTGGAGGCAGGTGGGAGAGGGAGGCAGGTGAGAGCTGGAGGCAGTTGGGAGGGGGAGGTGGGTGAGAGCTGGAGGCAGGTGGTGGGGGACGCAGGTGGGAGGGGGAGGCAGGTGGGAGGTGGGGGCAGGTGGGAGGTGGGGGCAGGTGGTGCGGGAGGCAGGTGGGAGGTGGGGGCAGGTGGGAGGTGGGGGCAGGTGGTGCGGGAGGCAGGTGGGAGGTGGGGGCAGGTGGGAGGTGGGGGCAGGTGGGAGGTGGGGGCAGGTGGGAGGTGGGGGCAGGTGGGAGGGGGAGGCAGGTGGGAGGTGAGGGCAGGTGGGAGGGGGAGGCAGGTGGGAGGGTAGGCAGGCTTCCCGCCCTGGTGCCGGCCTGGTGTTCTCTGCCCGCTGGAGCATCAGGCCTTCCTGCTGACGCCTGGTGCAGAGGCCCCCCTGGCTCTGGCTCTGGCCCTGTGGGGAGTGGGGGGAGGAGAGGGCCCCGAGGCTGGTTCTCCAGGCCAGGCCGGGAGGGCGCTGCCATTTCACATTTCCTAGAAACAGGATGCAAAAAGTAAAGACATGAAGTTCATTGTATTCCTCCCAATATAACCAAACGGTCTCCTTCTCCCGTTTAGTGAGGACACAGTGCTTTGAGATATTTTGCATTCTATTTTTCATCAAGCCTGAGATCCTCTCAACACCTCTCAGTCTGGACGACCCCCAGTTAAGGGCTCTGCAGCCACGTGAGACACAGCTCTCTGCGCCCAGTGCCTGGGCTTGCCACACACGGTCCCTCTCCAGGCGGCACCCCCATCCCTTCGTGCGCTTGTCCCCCACAGACCACACTCTGCAGGTCCTCGCAGGCCTCGTCCACTCGGTCAGGAGCCGGGCCCTGGGCGTCCTGCACCCGTCCTTCAGCATGGTCCGCTTCCTCCGCGAGGCCCTGCACAGGCACCTCCCGCCCGACGTGCACACGCTCATCTCGGGCAGAATGTACATCTCGCTCACCCGCGTGTCCGACTGGGAGAACGTGCTGGTGTCCGACTTCCGGTCCAAAGACGAAGTGGTGGACGTAAGCGGGGTCGAGGGGGTGCACTTTCAGACTCGCCTTCTCACGCGCAGAGAGAGGCTCGGGGCCCAGGGGACGGGGGGGGGGGGGGGGGGGGGGGGGGTGACTGCTTTGCCCGTGGGTTCACTCCCTTTTGTCTTCGCAGGCCTTGGTCTGCTCCTCCTTCATCCCCTTCTTCTTCGGCTTCATCCCTCCAACCTTCAGAGGCGTGGTGAGTCACCTTTACACTGCAGGGTGCTGGGCTCGGGCATCCTAGGTCCCCAAAAGCAGAGCCCGTGTCTCTCAGCCTTGAAACAGGGGTTCCATAGCTGCCCCCCTCCATTCCCACCCACCCCCAGCCCACCCACCTTCACCCAGTATCCATTATCTGGCTTTCTGCTAGGTAGGCTGGCTCGCTTAATTTTTGTTGTTGTTAATCCTCAGCAGAAGGTATTTTTTCCATTGATTCTCAGAGAGAGTGGAAGGGATGAGGAAGGGAGAGAGAGACACACACACACAGAGAGAGAGAGAGAGAAACATCGCTGTGAGAGAGGCACATCAGTTGGTTACACCCAGCATGCCCTGAGAGCAGGGCCGGTGACCTATTCTGAAACTCAGGCCGTGCCACTGACCGGGAATGGAAACTAAGACCTTCGGTGCTTGAGCTGACCCTCTGACCCCGGAATACCCCGGCCAGGCCGGGTTCACTCAGTCCTCCCCGGACGCCGAGGACAGGGGCCCTGGGCCTACAGAGCTTAAGACTCAGCAGCTCCCTTCAGGAGAGCTTCCTTCTCAGGTGGAGGGTCCAGTCCTCTCTGGGACTGACTGTCCCATGAGCCCGGGCTTGGGGCAGAGCTGGGACGGAGCTGTGGTTCAGTTCCATCCACGGATCCTCTGTGTAGACACACACAGGCTGCTGGTGAGCCCCGCGCGGGCAGAGTCCGAGTGGAGCGAGTGCTCTGCAGGGCTGGGCAGCGTGCTGGGCTGGGCAGCAGCAGGGGCAGCGCCTTCCTGGGCAGCCGTTCCCTTCTGAAATGATCGCCCCCCGCCCCGGGACATCTGTCCCGTCTGCAGACAGGGAGGCTGGCACAGTAGGGCACATCGGTGTGACAGGTGCAGACTCTCCACATGGTCCCGAGCCCACCTACCTAGCCGCAGGTGTTGGCAGAGGCATCCCCAAGCCCGGCCCTCCCCCCCATGGCCTCTGCCCGTAATCAGAGCACCACGGACTCCTGCCCTGAGCCTCTGACGGGACGTGTTTTCTCTCTCCCTTCCCAGCGGTACGTGGATGGAGGGTTTAGCAACTCTATACCCTCCCTGGATGACAAAGCGACCATCACCGTGTCGCCCTTCCTCGGGGAGCATGACATCTGTCCTAAGGTCAAGTCCACGAACTTCCTGCATCTGGACCTGTACAAGCTCAGCCTCCGCTTCTGCTTGGAGAACGTCTACCTGCTCAACAAAATCCTGTTCCCGCCGGATATCAAGGTGAGGGGGGCTGTTGTTCTGGGGGTGCCGCTCTGCTCCCTTGTTTGCCTGGGGCCCAGCAGTGTCTTTATGCAAACAACCCAAAGTGGACCCCTCAGTGAATAGGGATCGGAGAAGAGTCACTTGTCCCCGAAGATCAGTGGTGCCCCAGGAGGGCTTCCAGGAGGAGGTGTCCCCGAATCACCCAGGTACTAGTGCAGTCGACCCTCCTGCTCCACAGGTTTCCCAGCTGTGGATTCAACCAACCACACATCACAAATATTCTAGCCCTAGTTGGTTTGGCTCAGTGGCTAGAGTGTCGGCCTGTAGACCAAAGAGCCTGGGTTCAGTTCAGGTCAAGGGCATGTACCTCAGTTGCAGGCTCCTCCCGAGCCCTGGATCTGTCCATGCTCGTGCAGACGGAAACCAATAGCTGTGTTTCTCTCACATCAGTGTTTCTCTCTGTCATGCCCTCTCTCCCACTTTCTCTAAATTCAATGGAAAAATATCCTTGGGTGAGGCCCGGTGCACAATATTTGTGCACTGGGGTGGGGGTCCTCTCAGTTAAGTCTGCGCCCTCTCACATTCTGGGACTCCTGGGGGATGGCCAACCACTGGCTTGGGCCTGCTCAGTCGGCCTAAGCCGGCAGTTGGTCATCCCCCGAGGGGTCCTTAGTGCAGCAGCGGAAGCGGGAGAGGCTACCGCCATGACCACTGTGCTGGTAGCCCTGAGCCGGCTTCTGCTGAGCAGCACTCCCCCTGTGGGAGTGCACTGACCACCAGGGGGCAGCTCCTGCATTGAGTGTCTGCCCCTGGTGGTCATGGCGCATCATAGCGACCGGTTGTTCTGCCATTCGGTTGATTTGCATATTAGGGTTTTATTATTTGGGGTCCCTCAGGGTGGCCTGTGGGGATTGGGCTGAAACCGGCAGTCTAACAGCGTCTGCCACTCCTGCCTGCCATGCCCACTCATCCCAGCCCCACGGCACCTGCCACGGACTCGCACCCAGTCAGTCCCGAACAGGAGAGGCTCCACAGCGAAGCTCACCCACTGTGAGCCCTGCATCTGGCGCCCATCTGAGGTGCGGGGAGGGGCAGCCTGTGATCGGCCCTCTGGGCGGGCAGTGGGTCATCCAGATCCATGCCGCTGACATTCATGCCATTTGCCGGGAGCCACCTGGGGGCCGCTTTTATATCGTGTCTTCCTTGTGGAGCGTCCAGGGAGGGGCAGCGGCCTGGTGCCTGAGGCCGACTTCCAGGACGCTGGTGGTGCCGTCAGGATCGGCCAGCAGTGCCATCTGCCGGTGCCTGGCCTGTTCCCCCGAGACTGGACCTGCAGGACTGCTGCGGGAGTGTGGTGGCCTCTGAGACTGAGGGTGCTCCCACTGCGGGAGTGCACTGACCACCAGGGGGCAGCTCCTTTGTCGAGCATCTGCCCCTTGGAGGTCAGTGCGCATCACAGCGACCAGTTGTTTCGTTGCTTAAGCGTAGATAGATAGATAGATAGATAGATATAGTACACACACACAGGCACACACATGCACACACACACACGCGCACACACACATACTAGAGGCCCAGTGCATGAAATTCGTGCACAGGGCATTGTGTCCCTCAGCCCAGCCTGCACCCTCTCCAATCTGGGACACCCCCTCTCACAATCCAACACTGCTGGCTCCCAACTGTTCACCTGCCTGCCTGATTGTCCCTAACCACTTCTGCCTGCTAGCCTGATCATACCCTAACCACTCCCCTGCCAGCCCAATTGCTCCTAACTGCTCTCCTCTGCTGGCCTGGTTCCCCACAACTGCCCTCCCCTACAGGCCTGGTGGCTCCCAATTGCCCTCCTCTGCTGGCCCAGTTACCCCTAACTGCCCTCCCCTGCAGGCCTGGTCGCCCCTGTTGGCCATCTTGTAGCAGCCATCTGGTGACCACATGTGGGTGGCCATCTTTTACCATATGGGGGTGACCATCTTGTATGTTGGAGTGACAGTCAATTTGCATATTGACTTTATTATATAGAATACTAAATAAAAATTCCAGAAAGCCTCAAAATGAAAACTTGAATTTGCCCCTCGCCACGCCCTACCCTGAATCCACGGGAGTGATGTGGAGTGTAGGGCGCCTGCCGTAGCCTAGGTGCAAACCCTACACCATTTACGTGAGGTCCCAGAGCGTCCATGAATGTCGGTACCTGCGAGGGGCCCTGGACGGATCCTGGGGGGACTGTCTGTGGGTGCAGCCTGCGCAGTAGGATGTGTCGAGTTACCCACGCGAGCTTATTCATGGCCATGGTCACGAACCACAATGCACTGCGGTGGCTGCCGTATGCCTTCCCTCCCCAACAGTAAGGGGATGTGTGGGCTTGAGCCCTAACAGGGGTTGGGGACCCAGGAGGCTGCAGGGAGGTGGGCAGGACAGTGGGCACCCAGCAGGGGCTCCCCCTGGAGGGAAGGCCGTCACCAGCTGGTCGGTGCCGGTGGTTTGTGCACAGAGCAGGGGAGGTGGCTGCCACTGTCCTCCGCGGACCAGATAGGCCCTGTCATGCTGGGTGACAGCAGCGGCTCCGTGGGGGGTGTCCTTCCTGCCCAGTTCCTTGTCCAGCCGGGCCCGGCCCACGGCAGCTCGGAGTCTTCGGGTTAAATAACCAGGCTTAGCCATTCGCCCCGGTAGTTCCGGTACTGGCTTTGCTTACAGGTGCTTGGAGAGAGATTCCTGCAAGGGTACTTGGATGCGGCCAGATTCCTGGAAGAAAAAGGTATGCAAGGGTTGGGGAGCAGAGGAGCCCTTTTCTATAAAAAATAAAAAATACCTTTTCTATAAAAAATATATGCTTTTATTGGTTTCAGAGAGAGGAAGGGAGAGGGAGGGGGAATCGCCATCCGGGCAGTGCGCTGACCAGGAACAGAACCGTGCCCTCCTGGTTCATGGGTTGACCCCCGTCCACTGAGCCACACTGGCCGGGCCAGCTGCGCCCTTTTCCTCCGCTGTTTGTGAGCAGCCTTGGTGAGCCCCGGAGTATGTGACAGCCTCCGGCGAGGAGTCGGTGCTGAAACACGAGCAGGGAACCGCCGTGAGGTGTGTTTGGAGCTGCTTTTCCTCAGTGCTGAAGGCCGGCTCCCGTACTGACCCCGCCCATTGGCCTGTGGCCGAGACCACGGCGACGGTCTGGTCCCAGGACCTCCGCGCGTTATCCACTCAGGAAGTGTCCACTGTGCACCTTCCATGTGCCACACATGTGCTGTGTGCAGGGGGAGCGCCTCCCGAGCTCACAGTCTGTGGCCGGAGCACAGATCAGTGATGGAGGGAAGACGCGGGGAGGGATGACATGCAGAGGGCGTGACAGGGTGCGGGGTGCTGCAGGGTCACACAGGAGGGAGCTGCAAGGCATGGGGTGAGGAGGGCTTCCAGGAGGAGGTGGCTCTACTTCGGGGATGGGCAGGAGGATGAGGAGGCCTGTGTACCTGCAGAGGCTGTGAGATGGACAGAGAGGTGCAAGCTGGGCCCCATGACATGGTGCAGTTTGTACACAGCAGTAGGCAGCCATGGGGGGCTGCTGAGGCAGGAGGGAGGGGGGCAGAGGGCAGCGTCGGGGTGTCCGGTGGCTGGTGGCTTCCGGTTGAGTGGGTGAGGACTGCCCCCTGCTGCCCACAGTAGCCCGATGGTGTGTCTCTGTGCCCTGCATAGGCATCTGTGACGGGCCCCGGCCAAGCCCGGGGGTGCCCTCCGGAGCGCCCGAGTTCCTCCCGTTCTCCTGGGAAACCACGGGCCCCGAGGCCTCCCCCGGGGCGGCTGCCTGGCAGAGGAGCCCTGAGGTGGCCGAGCTGCTGACCCACCTGCGTGCCCACCTCCTGCCCAGGGACGAGAGCCTCCTGGAGACCCTGCCGCCCCCGCTCATCGCAGGTGACGCCTCCGGGCGGGAGGGGGCGCTGCTGAGGCTGAAGGGCTGCTCCCTGGGGTAGGGGTTGGGGTTGGGGTTGGGGGGAGGGTGATGCTGCCACGGGGAGGAGGGGAGGCCCCCTCCTGGTACCATCTCCCCACCAGGCGTCTCGCTCAGCCTCCCTCCCCACGTGTCCGGGCCAGGAAACACCACACGCCCGCTGAGCCCGTTCTGAGTGAAGCGGGCATGCTGCCAGGGCCTGGGGTCCGGGCACACCGGATTTGGGGGACCCGAGGGTGGGCCCCTTCTTTCAGAACACCATTCCCTGTCTCCAAGCCTCCTTTCTGGAGGGGCCTGTCTGCCTCCCCCTCCCCAACCCACAGCTTTGAACTTGTCCTTGAACGATGCTGGTGCATTTGGTCATGTGGTCAGACACCAGGTGGACCCAGGAGGGCACAAACCAGACCCATGGGGCGTTGGGAGAAACCCCAAGATAAACACGACGATGATGCCCAGGCGGCTACGGTGTGAGGCGCCTGAGGCCTTGACGTAGGGGAACCGGAAGGCAGGGCTCAGGCAGAAGAGGGGGCGCTGGGGAAGCCGTAGGCAGGCGGGCGGGGTCCTGTCTCCTCCAGGGAGAGGCCCTGGAACAGAGCGTCCCGGGCCGGGCTGCCCCAGGCGCCAGCTCCTGCTGCCCTGGCAGCAGGGAGTGCCTTTCACCGACGTCCCAGCAGCCTCTGGGGCAGTCACGCTGGTGGAACCCCTCCCCCCATGGTCTCTTCCAGGGCTGTGTGAGGCGCTGAAACCCCGCGGGGGCTGCCTGAGCAAGCTCTGCAGCCTCCTGCCGGTGAAGGTCATGTCGTACGTGATGCTGCCCTGGACGCTGCCCGTGGAGTCCGCGGTGGCGGTGGTGCAGAGGTGAGCGCAGTGGGCAGCTGCGTGTCTCGGCGGTTGAGTGAGGATTAAGGGAGAGTTCACAGAAGGCCCCACGCCTGGGCCGGCTCCTGTGCAGTGCAGTAGGGATCACAGTCTGCAGGGTCTGTCCCTGAGAGGCGCCTCAGACCGAGGCCGGCCCAGCCCACCTCCTTTCTTTTTATTCACTTTTTATTGATTCATTTTAGAGAGAGGAAGTGGAAGGGAGGAGAGATAGATGAATTTGCTGTTCCACCCCATTTAGGCATTCATTGGTTGAGTCCTGTATGTGCCCTGGCCGGTGATTAAACCCGTAACCTTGTCCCATCCCGATGATGCTCTCAGCCAGCGGATCTACCTGTCAGGGCTGTCGCCTCCTTTGTCATTGCTGCTGCAGGCTTGTCACTTCCTGTAGCTCCGCCCTTTCATTTGGGGGTTGGGTCCGGGGAAGGAAGGACTTGAGGCAAACAGCTGCATACCCAGAGTGCTGGTCACGGATTCCACTCCGCTTCCTTCCGGTTGATTTGGGTGTGTACCTTCTTTCTAGTGAGTTCATCTAGGGTGTCCGTCTTACATTTTACTGGAGGCCCGATGCACAAATATTCGTGGCTTCCTTCTCCTGGCTTCCCTCTGGCACCCGGGACCCAGGCTTCCCTGCAGCCCCAGCTTCGTCCGGAAGGACATCCAGTCTAATTAGCGTGTTGCCCTTTTATTATCATAGATTTTATTATTTAAATGTATCTTTGAATAAATTTATGTTGAAAGCATTACAGGTGTCTCCTTTTCTCCCCCAGTGACCCTTCCACCCAGCTCCCGCGTCCTCCCTGGTCCTTCCCGCACTTTTGTCTGTCCATGGGCCATGCATACCTGCACATTAATGGATTGGTTCATCTCTCCCCCTTCCCTCTAACTATGTCAGTCTGTGGCCTGCTTCTATATCCAGATCTTTTTTGTTCATCCGTTCAGTTTATTTTGTTCATTAGATTCCACCTATGAGTGATATCATCTGAAACTTGTCTTTCTCCGACTGGCTTATTTCACTTAGCGTGATGCCTCTACGCTGTCTCAAAGGGTATGAGATCCTTATTCTTTACTGCTCTACAGTATTCTGTGGTGTAAATATTCCACAGCTTTTTTTTTTTTATGACTGATCTGCTGATGGGCACTTGGGCTGTTTCCAAATCTTAGCTGCTGAGAATAATGCTGCTATGAACTTAGGGGCCCATACATTCTTTCTGATTGGTGTAGGTATATTCCTAGAAGTGGGATCCCTGGGTCAAATGCAAGTTCCTTTTTTAATTTTTCGAGGAAACTCCATAGTTTTCCATGCAGTGGCTGCGCCAGTCTGCATTCCCACCAGCAGTGCACGAGGGTTCCCTTTTCTCTGCATCCTCGCCAGCACTTGTCGTTTGTTGATTTGTTGATGGTAGCCATGCTGACAGGTGTGAGGTGGTACCTCATTATCATTTAGATTTGCATTTTTCTGATTATTAGTGACATTGGGCATTGTTTCACGTGTCTCTTGGCCATCTGTGCGTCCTCTCTGGAGAAGTGTCCATTCAGGTCTTCTGCCCACTTTTTAATTGGATTGTTTGTCTACCATTTGTTGAGTTAGATGAGTGTTTTATACATTTTTGGAAAACTCCTTAGCAGATGTATCAGTGGCGACTATACAGTGGGCTCCCTTTTCATTTTGTGCTGATGTCTTTGGCTGTGCACAAGCTTTTTATTTAGGTATAAGCCCTCATGTTTAGTTTTTCCTTTGTTCTCTTGCCCTCAGGCCTGGGTGATGCGTTTTGTAGTCTATTTTGTCAGATATGAGTATTGCTACTCCAGGTAGTTGTTTTTTTTTTCTCTTTCATTTCCATTTGCATGGGAAATTTTTTTATCCCTTCACTTTCATCCTGTGTGAGTTTTCTGTTCTGAGCTGGGACTTTGCAGACAGCCTATATATGTGTCACATTTTCCACCCATTCAGCTGCCCTATGGGTTTTCATTGGAACATTTGAGACATTTATATTTAAGGTTTAATGGATAGGTACCTATTTGTTCCCATTTTTATTCTTTATGCCTTTGCCCCCTCCCAACCTCCCTCCCTCCAATTCTTCTTCTTACAACAGTCCCGTTAGCATTTCTTGCAGTTTGGGTTTGGTGGCTATAAACTGTTCTAGCCATTTTTCGTCTGCGAAGCTCTTTATTTCACTATTTGGAATGATAGCCTTGCTGGTCAGAGTAGTCTTGGATTCAGTCCCTTGCTTTCCATTACTTTGTATACTTCATGCCAATCCCTTCGGGCCTGAAGTGTTTCTATTGAGAAATCAGCTCCCTTGCAGGTAACGTTCTGTCTCTCTCTTGGTGCCTTTAAGATTCTTTGTCTTTAACGTTTGCCGTTTTAATTATGACGTACCCAGATGTAGGTCTTTTTGGGTTCACCTTGATTGGGACTCTCTGTGCTTCCTGAACTTGAGTGCTTCAGCCCTCTTTTAAAGTCCAGCCCATCTTTCAAAATCCAGCTCCATCTGCCCGCTGGTGGTGGGCCTGCTCAGGTCCCTTCCCGCCCCAACAAATCAGCCTCCTATTCCCACACCATCCTTCCCTGTGCGGAGGTTCAGGCATGGGTCCTAGCCTGTTTGGCTCAGTGGATAGAGCATCGGCCTGCAGGTGAAGGGTCCTGGGTGTGATTCTGGATAAGGACCCATGCCTGGGTTGTGTGCTCAATCCCTAGCAGGGGCGTGCAGGAGGCAGCCGATCCATGATTCTCTCTCGTCAGTGATGTTTCTATTTCTTTCCCTCTCCCTTTCTCTCTGAAATATATTTTAAAAGTTAAAAAGAGTTCTGTGCCTTCACTCAGCTGAGAAAATAAAAATTCCCTGGCATGGGGTTCTGGTAGTGTGCAGCTGCGTGGCGTCTGTGGAGGCCACAGTCAGGCTTCTCTGCGGGGCTCACCCGTGGCCGAGCGCCACCCGCAGGCTCGCTGGCGGAGGGCAGTGTCTCCGCTCTGCGCTCAGGCCTCTTACCTTGGACATGGAGCATCCGGGAACCCCGCTTTCTCCTGGGATTCCCCGGAACCCCCTCGAGCGGCCTTGGTTTGGGGCGTTTGGGTTGGCTTGTCCCATCCACGCTCTGAGATCTATCAGAGGGGACGAGCCTGAGACCAGCAGTTTAGCGCGACGAGGGGCCCTGTCGTGAAGCTGGCTGCCTTCTGTTCCGCTCTTATTGGGTTCTCTTCGTTTGGCTTGTCTTCCTGCTGACCCAGGGTGTGTGTGTGTGTGTGTGTGTGTGTGTGTGTGTGTGTGTGTGTCTGTCTGGTTTTACCTCCGCAGACTGGTGCTGTGGCTTCCCGACATCCCTGCCGACGTCCAGTGGCTGCTGTCCACACCCTTCCAGGTTTGTTCTCGAGGGTGAATGCCTCTGCTCTCCACTTCCCCGCGGGTGTAGACGGACAAAGAGAGAAACAGCCATTGTTGTGTGTCAGTCCCTCTTACTCGGTTTTATTTATATCCCGAAGCTCTGGTCCCTGAGCCGGCCTCGAAGCGCAAGAGGAGCGAGCACACCCAGCACCCAGGCCTTGCTTTCCGAGCTCCGTCCCCCGCAAACGGGAGGAAACGCTGGGGACGTGACTGACGGCCGGGCCGCGCAGGACAGGCACAAGGCAAGCCTGGCCATCTGACAGCAGAGAGCAGGTGCAAAGAAACGACGGGACTTGTCCAAAGGGCACGGGCACCAGCCTGCCTGGGTCTGGGACATGTGGACACACAGACAAGCCATGTGAATAACAGGTTGTTCATGGAATAAGAGTCTCCGTGGATTGAGCACCATCCGTGACCAGGAGAGTGTGTGAGTCAATAAATGAGGTAAAGGCACACGTCAGTGGAGAAGTCAAAGCTCTCCCTTCTGTTAAATGCTGAGCGGTCACCGGAGAGAATGGGCAACCCCTTCCCAGGATTCTCGGTACGAACGGAGTCCGCCAATCATCGTCAGTGAGGCCAGGAGCCGGATAGCGACCTGGTGTCAGAATCACCCTCACGTTGGCGATTAATCACAAAAGTAAAAAATAGGTTACAGTGGATGACCCTGGCAAAGACAACCATAACCAAGTATCCAAGTCACATTGCTCCTTAGTCACCTGCCTCCAGCCGGATCCCCTGAGGGGGGCAAGCATGTTGCTCTACATGTCAGAGATCTCTAAAGATGCGATTAAATTACGGATCTTCCAACAGGGAGGTTGTTCTGGATTATGGGGGGGAGGGGGGGCGTGTAACTGTTCTTCCACCTCACAGTAGAGCGGGCGGCAAAGGTGCCCCCCTTCCTGCCGCGCTGGCTCTGAAGGTGAGGAGGGGCCGCGAGCCAAGGAGTACGGGCACCTCGGAGGCAGGGAGGGGGCTCTCCCTGGGGCTCCAGAGGAGGCAGCCCTGCTGGCACGGGGGCTGTAACCCAGCGAGACCCACCGCAGACCCCTGACCTCCCCCCTGTGACCTGGGAGATCCGTGGTTCTCTCAGCCACTTGGCTTGGGGTCATTTGTTCTAATGGCAACAGGAAACCCATACACGTCCCTTCTGCAGAATCCTGGATGAAGAGGCATAACTTGAGTGAAATGATGAGGAAACATGATTTAATGGGTTAAATACGGTTAAGGGACATTCTACTAAATAACTTGCCTGTGCCCTTTTCTTTCTTTCTATTACTTTTTTTTTTAGTTAATCCTCACCCGAGTTTATTTTTTTCCATTAATTTTAAGAAAGAGGCAAAGGGAGAGGGGGAGAGAGGAAAAGAGAGAGCAAGAAAGGGAGAGAAACATCAACGTGAGAGACACATGGATCGGTTGCCTCCCACAAGTGCCCAGACTGGGGCCCGGATCGAACCCACAACCACCTCCCTGCCCTTGACCGGGAATCTGATCCACGACTCTTCAGTGTGCAGGCCAGCGCTCTAACCACCTTGCCACCCCGGCCAGGGCCCTTGAGAAAAGTAAAGGTCATGAAAGACAAAGGCAGTTGAAAGGAGACTAAAGGGTCACGGCAACTTCGGGCAGTCCCTGGCCCTAGACTTGAACCTGGCCTGCGGGACAATTGACAGAATTTATATGTGAGCCGGGAATGAAACAAGAGCACCGTGTTGATACATTTTCCAAGTTTGCAAAGTCCTTGTTCTTAGGAAAAACACGGAGATATTTAGGAGTAAAGAGGCATGCGTCCCAACCCAACCACTGTTCCCGGAAACAGACCTCTAGTGCGCGCTGCCCTGACCTCCACCGGCATGGCCACAGAGGAACCGCGGGCTGGAGGATCCGGGGAAGGGCACATGAGCCGGGGTTTAGACATGTGTCAGTGACCAACAGGCCCAGCCCCTGGGAATCAGGAGGAGCAGGAGGCGTTGCCTCAGGAGCTCCGGATGAGTCAGCATCTCCCCAGAGCGATGCCCCCGGACCCGAGACCCAGACTGAGACCCCGGGGAGCCTGTTCCCTCTGCTCCCCTCCCCGCTCCTCTGCCTGGCAAATGCTCCCTTAGCCACCACGGCCCAGCTCCAATGCTGCTTCTCTCTGAGGCCCTGAGTCCTGACAGGCACTGTCTCTCTCTCTCCCCCTCTCCCTTCCTCTCCAAAAAGCAATAAAAACTACTTAAAAAATAAAAAAAACAAAACAAAAAGAAGACCTCACTTTAAAAGGTTGAAATACAAGCCTCTCCTTCCAGCCGCCAGGCTCTGACAAGTCCCCTCCAAGCACCTCCTCTGCCTCCTGCACCCCACCTTTTCTTCCCTGGGAGCCCCCGGTCCCCTCCCTTCCCTTGGGGAGAGGACTCCTGGGGCCCCCCGTCCCTCAGCACCCCGAGGCGAAGGTCATTTCTGAAGCCTGGGTTCACGCCCGGCCTCACCCGCCGCTCACCTCTTGACCCTGCTCCGCTGATGGACAGTCAGCACTGTGGTTTCCTCCATCGGTAAGTGGGGACGTGAGGTCCCTCACGGAGCTGTCACGGGGATTGAAAAGGGTGATGTCTGTGCAGCACCTGGGGCGTGCCGGTGACCCTGAATTCCTTATGTCCCATCACACCGAGCAGACAGGAGTGACACCGCACCAGCCGGAGTCCCGGAGGCTGCAGCCCCAGCCGGGGAGACAGGTGCAAACACCCTGTGTGACCGGTCCGGTGACAGACACAGAGGCCAGGGCCACGGGAGGACACAGTGGCGTCAGTCAGGTGGCCACCTGCCTCAGCAGGGCCCTCCCAGGGCCCTCAGGCTGGCACAGGGCTCCCCAGGGCAGGGTGGGTGGAGAGAGGCCAGCGATGGGGTGGGCGAAGGGAGCTCTGGGGTCTGGGAGGCCGAGGTGGAGAGCACTCCTGCGGCCCAGCGAGAAGAGCAGCTCTTATGCTGCTTAAGCGAAGGGTGGAAAGTTCTGGAAAGACGTGACGGGACAGAGGCAATGAGGTCGGTGTGGGGACCTGGAGGAAACTTGACACAACCTGTCCCCTCCAATGCCATTCTGTGGCTCTGCGTCTGGAGGCAAGTACGGCCTCGGGCCTGCAGAGGGCGCACCTCACACCAGGGCCCATGACCTGCCCAGCCGCTTGGCAGAGAGTCCTGCCCGCCCTGCCCTTTCTCAAGTCCTTCAGCTTCAAATACCCAAACGCCACGGGGCTGCCTTTGGGGTGGCGTGTCCTGAACCCCGTCAGTACATGCCGTGGACTGAGAGGCAGCTGAACCAGGAAGGAGATTCCCACACAGGCTACTGCCCAGAGGCCCTGAGAACATTAGTGACAGCAGTGACAGCAGCCAGTGCCAGGAGGACCCAGCCCTGTGATTCCACCTCCCTGCTGGCACGGAGTTCAGAGACAGAAAGTCAGTGCTGGCCAGGGGCTGGCCCGGGGCTGGGAAGGCGGGAGGGGGCTTAGGGCTTCATGGGGTAGAGTTTCTGTTCTGCGAGATGAAATCAATCTGCAAATTCGCAATGGCCGTGTGTGCACAACCTTGTGAATGCATTAAGGCCCCTGGACTGTGCCTTTATTTATTTATTTTTAATATATATATATATATATATATATATATATATATATATATATATATATATATATTTTATTGATTTTTTACAGAGAGGAAGGGAGAGAGGGAGAGGAATAGAGAATCAGAAACGTCGATGAGAGAGAATCATCGACCAGCCGCCTCTTGCACACTCCCCCCGCCACTGGGGATGTGCCTGCAACCAAGGTACATGCCCTTGACCGGAATCGAACCTGGGACCTTTCAGTCCGCAGACCGACGCTCTACCACTGAGCCAAACCAGTTTCGGCTGAACTGTGCCTTTTAAAAAAGGCTGCCCTGTACACTGTGTGAATTACAGCCAGGGCGGGGAGCTGGGCTGAGGAGGGGGCTGCAGGGTGAGGTGAGGTGTGGCCGGAAAGGTTGGGCAAAGGGTGTGGCTGTGGAAGGGCCAGAAGCCGGCCTGGGGCACTGAGGAGGAACAGTGACAGAACAAGACACCTGGCAGGGGGCAGAGAAGCCGGGGCCCCCACAGGGGTGGGGTTTGGTTACTGGGTGGAGGGTGCCTGCCCCATTTAAGGGACTGCTGAGCCAGCACAGTCTGAGCGGCCCTGTCTGCATGCACCGTCCCATCCAGGGACCCAAGCCCGGTCCACACACCCGCCTGCTGCCCTCGGAGAAGGCCGGAGTCGCGTTGGTTGTGCGGGAAGTCACCACTTTCGCTTCATTATGATTCTGAGTGGGCACCCCTTGGGGAAACCCAGGTCCTGCAAGCTTCGGGATGCCACAGATCGGTCGACCCGTCCCTGCCTAACTTAAAAGTGAAAGTGAAATGGCAACTTCGCTCACTGTCCTTACATGAGAATCTGCACCACTTGCCATGCGTTGAGCCATCACACAGACCTGCAGGAAACCAGGGCAAAGGGAAGATAGTAAAGACCTCAGCGGGAGCTGGAACCAGTTTGGCTCAGTGGATAGAGCGTCGGCCTGCGGACTGGAGGGTCCCGGGTTTGATTCCAGTCAAGGACATGTTCCATCGTTGCGGGCACTGTGCAGGAGACAGCTGATCCATGTTTCTCTGGCATCGATGTTTCCGGTTCTCAATCCCTCTCTCTTCCTCTCTGTAAAAAAAATCAATAAAATATATAAAATAAAATTTTAAAAAAGACCTCAGCGGGCAGCTACTGCTCCTCCCTGACCTCAGGATGAAGAGGAGCTGCAGGGGGCGCTGTCTCTTTCCAGCCCATTCCTGTCATTTGAAGCAGGGAAAACGCCCCACCCTCCCTCAGGCGCAGGTTGGCCCCTCCCAGACCTCGCCCCTCAGCCCGTCTGTCCTTTCTAGGCCCCGCCCCTCAGCCAGTCTGTCCCTCCTAAGCCCCGCCCCTCAGCCCATCTGTCCTTTCTAGGCCCCAACCCTCAGTCCTCCTGCCCCTC